CGCACCCTCTCTTCTGTCGGAAACCTGCCTGGCCCTCACTAATGCTACGTTTCTTCTCCAATACTCCCACTATCCTATCGTTCAGCAGCTTACAGAACACTTTTCCTACTGTGTTCAACAGTGTGATACCCCTGTAGTTTCCTGGGTCAGTCTTGTCTCCTTTCTTAAACAAGTTCACAACCACTCCTTCCCTCCATCTACTTGGCGCATACTCGTTTTTCCACACCCAGTTGTACAGCAGTACCATCAGCTGGATCATCCCCTTGCCCCCAAACTTCATGAACTCGTTTACTATCCCATCCGCCCCTGCTGCTTTGTGGCACTGCAGCTTGTTCACACACGCCTCAACCTCGTCCTCAGTGAACTCCTTTTCTAGTTCTACGTTCCCAACGTCTGCCTTCGATGTCTCTTCTTCTTTCTGGGCCCATGCGTCCACCTCCTTCTTAAACACTTGGTCAAAATCTTCATTCTCCGAAGGCACTCCAAGTCTCTTGTAGTGTCCTGCTAGAACTTCCCTTTTTCCCTTCCCACTGCTGACTAGTCCACCGTTCACACCTCGCAATGTTGCTACCCCTGTATCCCCCCCTTGCGCGGTCTTTTTTACCATCCCACTAATCCCTTCCCACATCTGCTTGACGTTCCCCTCCAGGCCTCCGTTGGCCTTCTGCACTACTTCGTCCCAAATGGGGGGGGGTATCGTGCAACTGTCATTCCATAGACGTTGCCTTTGGGCACAGAGCGCAATGATTGGCGTTTCCTTCGGCCCTCTCCTCCATACGTGACTAGCTCCTCTTGCTCGGTCACGAGGCAAAGCCGCAATGCCATTGACAACCCGAGACACACTTGAAATAAGAGAAGACTACGCCCGAGCGCCGAACGGAAGGGCCAACAGCGGCAGCTAGAAAATTCTGCGGTAACAATTTCCGCCGAAGTATGTCACAACCGCAGACGTAGGGAGAATTTTCTGCCCGAGTAAACAGACCTTCTTGAGTTACTCGGAGACAGCGAGGAAGAACGGCTATAAGGTGTCGCCCTTTACTGCTGTATGTACGCGCCAACGGGAGGGGGTGCTGCGATTGACCGATCTAGGGGAGACCGTACATATCGTATCTACGACTACTCTTCCACATATCACCGCCCAAAACAACAGCAGTAGTAATTTACACGTTGCCCACCAAGGTGGCCTCGGAGTAGTTGGCGTGATTCCGGAAGACCTTGCACTTCACCAGCTCCCCCGGGATGACGTGGGGAACCATCACCACCCAGCCCGTTTCACCCTCCCTCGCGATGCCCTCTCCCAAGTTGGTCAGGCTCTCAATCCGGACTGTTAGCTCTTCCAGATACCTTTGGTTGCAATGAGTCCAGGCGGTACGCAGCACGGGTTCGGCAAGCATCAGCACACGGGCACCAAGTTTACTGACTAGTGCTGGACATGCAAGCAATTAGATGGCACGGCATGGCGCTGTACCGGTACCGTACATGTACCCGTGTAGAACGAGACATGATGCAACAGGTGGACGGTTCGACTACCAGTACGTCCGCCACACGACAACCCTTTCTCCGTTGTGGTAGCGGTGCGAGACGGAGAGGCAGATAGAGCGAATAGCACACGACCTATACCACATTCTCGGCTTGCTGTTCATGCACACGATCACCTGCTGGTTCCATGGATGTACCTAACGTGCGAGGAAACATGAACAGCGGAGCGACAGAGGTTCTACACATACATGTCACACAGGAGGCGAGGTGGCAGAACCGCAGAGAGCAAATACTTACTCGTAAGGTGTCGGCGTGAACTTGGGCGGCGCGTACAGCAGCTTATTGGCCGGTGTCTTCTCTGCCACCTCTGCGACTGCTGTGATATCCACAGCTAGCTCCATCCTTGGTGAGCTCCTAGCTCTGCGAGGTGGATGCCGGCTGCTGGTTGATGTAGCTCGACCGGCCAAAGCCGCGCAAACTGGTCGAGTTCGGACCACGAAAGCTCTGGTGCAGCTGGGCAACGACATCATCGAGACAGCGGCAAGAGGGAGCAGCAGCCTTCCTGTCGTTTGATACATCTCGAAGCAGCCAGTGTGTGGTCCCCTTCGACCCTGTGAGGTGTCAGACGCAAAGCCAAGCACCAAGAAGACGCACGATGGGTGGACGGAGGGGGACCACGCAACCCGTACCACTGATGTGAGGGTATGCGTAGGAACCCCTATCGGTTCGGATTGGTCGACGATCATCTAATCACGCCGCTCTTGAACGATAGAGAGCGAGACAGACCATGAGACGCCAAACGCGCCTCTGAGCCCATTACCGGCGTCTCCTGTGTACATCATCCCGGTAGATTCAAGCACAAGAATAATGGCATGGAGGTCGATCTCCACTCCTGTGGTCGCTGCCACCCTGCTCGGAGCTGTGATCGCCCTTACCCTCCTCAGCAAGCCGGCTCCCCCCCGCCAGACAAAGGCAGAGAAACGGGTGGGTATGTTTCGTGTTTAAATGTTTAAATATTGGAGATACCAGTGAACCTTAAATGTCCGGTGTGACAACTGTGATGCAACACGCACACGACTTTAGCCGCACGACGGTGATAGACCGCAACATGCGACAGCAGTGGCCATCGTGGCATGATTTGCAAAAGCAACACATGGTACGCGCAGTACAAGCAGCATTTCATGCAAATCATGTACAAATGTTAGCACTGCCCTGCCTGGGCAGGACCGAAGCACGTGAGTTGTATCGATATCCATGCCACTCTTAACAAATTGTGCACAAAGAATACTTGGTTTGTTGAATGCCTGGTCTCTTGCCAACTGGTACCACAGAACTCAAGGCGACAGGGGAGAAAACGAGGTCGAACTGCCACGTCCAAGCGCACGAGATCGAAACGCAAGCAAACCGCGGAGATGTTGATAAACGAGATCGGCATTGATGAGTTCAAGAAGATGGTCCTCAAGGACAAGCTAGAGAAAGAAGGTAAGCCTCGCGATCACGCAGAATACGTCGCAAGTCTTGTTCAAAGCCGCTGGCGGAGGAGACCCATTATTTCGTGAGGCTTCAAGCTTGGTGCAGTAAAAAAGATTGGGCACAGAGTTTGACTTTTGCAGACCATGGTCACATCTTTCTTACAGAAACTCCCGCAAACCGACCGCACATCTTTTCATCAAGGGTTGAAGGTAATATCGGTAGCTGCGTGCAGTATGGCACCACAATAGAATTGCAGCTTGAGGCAACATACTGGGTGCCTCTACTGGTGGTGTCGCGTCTTACTTTTCTGACGGTACGTGTTACCTTTGGTATACCGCCGGTTTCCTCCCACCTCAGCACCACCCCCTACAATATCGCAATGATATCGCCCCAGACACGCGTCGATAACCTCATCATTGAGCCGTCATCGCCAATCTGTACTCACTCATGTCTGTTCGATTCGACCCGCTTGTTTCTTTTCAGAACAACAGGAGCGAATGAGGGCGGCGATGGATGACCCCAACTCCTTGCGGCTGGTGATAGACCTCAATTGGGCGGAGAGCGCCTCCGGTAAAGAGCTGTCTAGCCTCGTGAAGCAGCTCTGTTACGTCTACAGCCGCGCCAGAGCCAGCTCGATGCCTCCCAGGCTCACTCTCACCTCCTACCAAGGCAGAGCGGCTGCAGCTCTAGAAAGGTGAGGCCAGGCGTGCTGTCTCTTGTGCGTTCATTTTTATACTGCCTGCCCAAGTCCTGTGCAACCACGTAGTGTGTGATTTCGACACGACGTAGTCGACTTGGTTTCTTGTTTGTCCACCTCGCTAGAACTCGCAAGTCGTGGACCCTTTCAATCTGGTGGTCCTCCAAGAAAATTGCTGATTGATGTTTGTACCGTTTCACTGTTAAACGTCCCGCCACGAACTCATCGTGTCTACCTGCCCATTCGTGCTCCCAGCGCCGGGGCCAAGAGCTGGCTGGTCGACCGCAACCCTCTAGGCGTCTTTACGGTGTTCGAGTCGGCCGAAATCATCTACCTCAGCCCCGACGCAGAGGAGCCCTTGGACCAAGTCCTCGATATCAACGTCTACGTCGTTGGGGGCATCGTGGATCGGAATCTCAGCAAGGGGCTCACCCTCGGGGCCGCGGAGGGCGCAAGGGCGCGGACGGTGCGGCTGCCGTTCGACGAGTACTTGCCCGAGATTCCTCACGGCGATCGAGTCTTGACGGTCTGCGCCTGCGTCGGGGTGCTGATGGGCGTACGTGCGGGAGAGGGATGGCGAGACGCGCTGCAGAAGAGCGTGCCACGGAGGGGGGTAGAGAAAGCCGCGCGGCGGGCGCGGGGGGGGGCGTGGCGAGGGACCGTGGTAGAGGCCGTGGGTGCGGGACAGTCTGGATGGGGGGTGGTAGGGAACTTTGGTGCTGGTCTTGAGAGGAAAGCTGAAGGAGGTGTTGACGTCGCCGAGGTGAAAGCTGGCGCCGGGTCGAGTAAATAGTGTGAAGAGGAGTGTGGGTGAAATCCCACCACATGCCGCATAGTTTATGAAGAGGAGTTCGGATGAAATCCCATCACATACCGCGTGCCGTAGGGAGCACCGATATCAATCGCCGAGGTGAAAGCTGGCGCCGGGTCGAGTAAATAGTGTGAAGAGGAGTGTGGGTGAAATCCCACCACATGCCGCATAGTTTATGAAGAGGAGTTCGGATGAAATCCCATCACATACCGCGTGCCGTAGGGAGCACCGATATCAATAGAGACCAAGTAGTTAAGGAACCCTTTGCCGTATGGTATTAGACTCTAAATCACGGCACGATGCCCCACAGCGTGCTGCGTGCCGAGTTTGGTAAGCGACCTGCTCTAGTGTACGCCTCGATGCTGCTGAAGATCCACAAACAAACGTTTTTCCAATAAAAGGGTGATACGGGTGCGAACGCGTCAAATATGCACGGGAAAAGTGAAGCACGTGCAGTGGAACGTAGGAGCGCGTCTGATCGCGTGTGCATGCGAGACTACCTCCCTAGCTGCCCAAATGGATTCCGTCCTTGTTGGTGATGGCGGCGCATGCTCGATAAGGCCCGTTCCTCAGCATGCCTGGTAGGAAAAACCGTGGTGCAACACAGCCCCCGCTAGAGTGAGGAGAGGAGATCGCCTTCAGGGCTCCCAACAAGTAAATGGGAATTGAAGTACATCTTTTTTACCACGCCTCGCTTATCTCCGGACAGGACCCAACCATTGCAACCGTCTCCTGGTGAAGGCTAGTCACACTTGTCCGATGCGAGCACCGACTTTTGTCGGCATCTTTCTGCAGGAAGACGAGTCAGTCTTTCTTGCTGTCCGGTACAAGCGTCGACCGTTGTCGGTGGTTTCGGCGGTCAGAAGTCTCTCGATACCTTGCACATCATGACGGCTAGTAGTGTGTCGGCCTTCCATGCGTTGAATGTTACGATGCCGGCGATGATGGCAAACATGAGCGAGTTCGTTTCGTTCAGGGGGGTCCTGCCCAGTTTTTTTTTCTCTAATCCAAGATAAGTGTAGGCTGAACAACCGAAAACGACCCCGGCTTGCGGAGCCCCAAAATATAAACATCGACACCGTAGAGGACATCATGGAGCAGCGACATGCACGCGCGCTGGCACGCTCAGGTCCGCTGGTGCTGGGGGCGCGCGGTCGAAAGCTGACGCAAATAACCTGCGGTTCAACTATCATCCGTGGATACATAACAACCGCGACCCACTGCATGTAAGCGCCGTCATAGATCCAATCTCCCCCACTGCAGGATGTACAGCAGCAGCAGCAGGAGCAGTAGTAGCTCTAAGCTACCTTCGGACCGCACCTACCTACAGCGTGTTCCGATCGATAGTGTGTGTCAGATCTGGGCGTGTCAACGCGCACATCGCTACTCCACCATGTCCTCTACCGCGACGTAGACAGGGAGATGCTTACTTTGGAACTCTCCAACCGCAGAAGAACCTATTTCGCACCCACCGTATCGCCTTGGTCTCGATTCGAGACTGCAAGGAAATTCTTGGGTCTCGAGAGTTTAGTAGGAGCAAGACTCCGTGGATGCTATGTAGCTGACGGATAAAAAAAACAACCGCTTCTCTGTGCAACAACGCATTTATTTCGTTACGCCCAAGAACTGTTCACCCGGTTTTGTTTTAAGTCCCGTGGGTGGTTGGTGCTCGCATGATTGTCAAAACCGGTAAAAACTCAAGACCGATGTGTGGCAAGGATTTTCCTTGCGACAAGTGTGACGCGTCACTAAAGTAAAGGTTGGGGTGGGTACACCACAGAACACTCCCGCGCAGAGTGCAAGCTCATCCCAATATCTACTTCACAGGAACGACCTCCGTGTTTCGGGATGACTGCCAGGTGGTTGAGAGCGGTCTTGTGAGTGACAAAGAGATAGGTGAAGGGAGGGGAAGCGACAACGATCCTGAGATGAACACTCTGGCAACATTGGAGGTAGGCAAAAAAAAGTTGAGACAACACACAAGCTCGATGCACGTACATTCAACCGTTCAATCACTGCCAACGTGCGGCCCGACTGCTGTACAGTGCAATCAAGCACGTCTACGGATCAAACCGTAGGCGGCGGTCCCTCCACACCAGCATCAAGCTGTTTCACCCCACCCGACTAAAAAAAGCGTGGTGCACGTTGGTGTATATCGGTCGTACCACGCACGAATCGATTTAGTTGTTGCACAAGACTGGAGGGTTCGCTCTATTTCTATCGGTGCAAAAAAACGTATGTTTAGCATTGTGGTGACGACACGAGGTCACAACAGAGGAGACTTTGTTTTGATGTGTCCTGTACGCAAAGTTAAACAAGTGCATCGCCACTTGTTCTCTTTCTCCGTTCCACAGCAAAATCGAGTAACATGGCCAATTCTACACACATAACCAACCGTCAAACTCGGCGGTAAACGGGACGCGAAATACAGCAGAGTACAAGTGAACCAGCAACGCAGCGCCCGCGCTTTTACCCCCCTGCAATATCCGCCAGAACGCTTCGTCGTCTATGTTTCTATCTCGCAACCCGAGCCTTATTTCCACCCCTCATCTGTACCCGCACCCTATTGCAAAACACCGGCCAAAAAAATAACCGTATCCGCATGACTGCTCTACGTGCCGCAGATGTGTGTAAGGCACTCCTGCTCCGAAACGCACCATGCCCTCGTTTAATTTTAGTAACGCTAGGACGAACGCAGCATTTTCTTCTCGTGTCCTGTTGTGGGCTGCAGCCACAGCAAAACACGGCTACAGGCATCGCGTACGCTGAACCCCGCCGAAGCTGAAGGATTTCCACAAGCTGTCGTCAAGCCCGGGGCAACGGTTGCGTCCCCACCCACCCCCTGGCATCCAAAAAGAGGGCGGTCCCCTCATGGACGCGACCATCAAAAAAATCATGACCAAAGTTGTACGGGCCGAAGGTGTTGGTTCCTCTGCCCTCCAACAGTCGGGGCTCGCTTTACCTCTGTAGTAGCGGCACGGGAAAGAGATGGGCGAATGCAACCGCAAGATTGAAGGGAAGGGGGGGAAGAGGGGTTATCAGCTTTTTCTTCATGGCGCATTTGCTGATGAATGATGGGAACAATTCCAAGCATTGCGGCAGCGGGCAGGGCACGAATGGATGAGCAAGATCACCGTCGCGGACACAAAACGAGCGTGGCGTTATGTTGCAGACGGTCCAACATCAAACAAGCCTGCGCAAGCGATCAACCATCGCAGAACGTAGCGACGCTGAGCCACAATATTCGACGGCAACGGTTTTCTGTGCTTGGAGAAAACCATGCGAGATATTCATATAGCGAGGTGGAGCACAACTTCAATCGTTTCTCAACACCTCGAGAGAGAAGTCCATGGGGATCATTTTTGACCAATGCTTAGATACACGTATTCGTACAGGGCGCTCTCCAATCAGGCATTGCTTTAAAGGGGACCAAAATAGTCTCGGGCAACAGATTTAAACTCCATCGCGCGTTCACAAGCTGTGTCTGGTTAGACACGAACGTACACTGCCGTCGTGCATCGTACAGCTCCTACCTGGTACACGGTGCCAAGAGGTGTCCTGATGAAACGGGCCAGGAATCCATGCGATGCAAGATCGGTCGGTAGGTCCGAACCCAGGAGCCGCGCCGTACGAGCAGAGTTGACCATAAAGACCATGCCAACCGAATCAATCGAACATCCGGGAAGTGGATCGCAGAGAGGTGCGCATACAGAACAAGACAGGCGCCACGGCGACGACGGTAGAGAAAGGGGGGTGTGCAGGATATTTGTCAGCGACAGAACAGAGCGTTTGACGTGTCTACCTAGTTGCTAGCAAGAATCAGTACGCACACCGCTTACATTGCGGCAGGATTGGAGAGCTGTCTCGTATTTGTCGTCGTTTGCACTACAAGGAAGGCCACTTTCGGCAACACGAGCGGTTCCGACGTTTTCCTTGAAAGCGCTTCGCATATACATCCTGTCACAAGCAGACCCCACTTTTGGCCGCAGGCAAGACCCCACTTTTCGGTGGGTCGAAGAGTCCTTGACGACTCATCTGGCTCTGCGCCATGCCACAAGACCAAGCAACTTCTGGAAGCGCGAAACGGTTGTGAATATAGTGGTCAAAACCGACCCTTCCGCCTATATTGGCAGCGAGTGGTTTCTTGTGCACGAGCAGCGGTGGAATTGCTTGGTTTCGTATCTGGCCGGACGGGTTAACATCGTTTCGGTTTCGTCGCAGTCACAGGCCAACAATGCGCCATGGACCCAAACCACGTCCTCGCAACATCTCATAATTCACGCAGCACCAAGAAAAAGGCTCGAGACAAATCGTGAGGGGGCACGATCCGCAGGTTGTACCCATTTTTATCGATACCCCGGCTCTCGAAAACCATGAGGGCATGCCGGGGATTCTAACCGGTGTGTTAGCCGAACGAAAAAGGTCTCGTTTTATGATTTGGATTTGTCGGCCGGAACACATCATCAAGCAACGAGGAGGTTGAATGGTCTAGTCATTCGGCGCGGCGAACAGCATCTTCATGTATAGCAGTATACTGCCCACCACCATCACTGTTGTTTTTGCGTGTACTACTATAATAGCAGCAGTATGAAACAGGCCCTTCAAGTCTGTTGACCGGAATAACGTGTGCATACTCAGTTCTAGTAAATGAAAAAATGATGCTCGAATCTCAGCGGCCATGATTCCCGAAGATACCAAAGAAATATTTCAAGGAACACGTGGAAGGAGATTGGTGGCGGCAAAACTTCAAACGAAAGTATTATAGCGCCCGGTGCCCAACCTCATGGATGGAGGGTGAATGCCAGGCTGTGGGACTAGCGTGCCGTTTGTGCAAGCACCTCCCGCCCTTTCAAAAAAAGCGGAGCACCCAACCCCACACTTGCACTTCGTACGTGTCTACGACATGGGTACAAACCACAACTGCTTCCGATGGCGTTCAGAAAGCACAGCTACATACATTTACCAGATTTAACATTACTATTAGGAAAAACAAGAAACACCGAAAGACTACAATACCCGTTCGAGATATACCCACCGTCGATGGTATGTGTTGAGTCTTTGAGTGGAGGAAAATCGGCTGGGTACTGAGCTTAATTCGAGTTCAACATGACCAACTTGCAGCGTCAGCAGATAAAACTCTATAAACTGGATGACAGCAAAGCCACTACATGCGTACTACATCAGTCAAAACACAACTAAATGAGTCGCGCGGTGCTCTGAATCTGGCTGTCATCGAGGAGTGCCCACTGCAACGTATCGTTTGCTCTTGACACAGCATCGTCAGCATGCGAACATCCTTCGTACACAGCAAGTGTGAGTGCCACTAAATACTTTCAAGGGACAATCAAAAACTTGGTGGTAAGTAGGAACTGGCGTTTATCTTGTAGAAGTATCTATGTTCAGGCACGATGCACATCAAGGCACGTTGAACATGCAACATGCAATATGTTTCCGACACGGAATCCGTCACGCGCGGTTTCCGCCGCAAAAAAACGCACAACCCCACCAAAGACAAGTGCTGCGCCCGAATCAATCCCACATGGCACGAGAACACAAGACAATATTGTCTGCAACAGCAGAGAGTAGTGAAGCACCCCGATAACCAACGTGTGCACGCACCCGCAAGACCGGAGTCAGGACGGGGAAAACTGCAAGCATACTGCTGTTTGTACTATTAATACATGTACCCTTTTTACATGCAGTATTTCCCAAAAAACACCAAACAACGGACGGCAGCAGTGCTCTCACCCAATCCAATACATGAAAAGAGATGTCAGCAGCGAAGAGCGGTATGCAAAGAGAGAAGACACACAGAGAGAGAGAGAGCGTACATAGGAGGAGCCAGGAAGAGATGGCGCTACGTACGATGGCAGCTGGCTGCCGTGCCGCTGTGGTCACAGGGAAGCCGATAATTTTTTCCCTACAGCAGTACCAACACACATACATAGCATCACCTGTTCTTGTAGTCGAACTCCGAGCCGAAGCCCTGCCCGTCGCCGGCCCCGTTGTAGCCGCTCTTCTTCTCCGTGTACTTCATGTACGCCGCGTACGAGTCCTTGAGGGCCTTCGCGTCGCCCGCGCCGGCCGCCTGAACTACGCTCTTGGCCAGCGCCTCCGCCTCCGCGAACTTGGCCTTGTCGGTCGAGTACACGCCCGAGTTGAAGAGACGGAAGCAGTTCTGCTCAGCCACGATGGCGGCCGTGTCTCCCTTGTCCACCGCCCCCTTGAGCGCGGCGATGCGGTTGCCGTAGATGCCCCGCGCCCGGGACTGGGTGGCGAGGGACTTGGCCCCGTCCGCGAAGGCGACGCCCGGCACGGCTGCTGCCGCGGCGACAGCGGCGGTGGCGCCGAAAAGGTTGCTGAGCGCCTGCGATCGGGTCATGGGCTCGCTCGACATGGCCAAAGAAGTGGAGGAGCTGCTGCGCGGAAGGCGTTGGCGAGCGAGGAAAGGAGTGGGGAGGGTTGCTCAGGAGGGGTGTAGCCTGTGAGCGTTGCGCTTGGGAGTTGCTGAGGTGGATTGATGCCAACAAACATGATCATGTGTGAGATTGTTCGTGGACATGCACGTTGGCGTGTCCAAGGGCGGAGAGGGTTGCTGCCTACTTGTAGAGTGGCCTCTAAATTCAAGATGATGCGCACAGACACGTATGTATGTATGAAGGAGAGCGGCAGAAAGATCGCCAAGGCAACACGAGCAGCACAGCGATGCCGTATCCTCTGCAAGACAGGTGTTGCCCCTGCCTCTCCGTGAGCTACACTCGTTGCGCGCAGGGACACATGAGCAATAAGGCGCAACAGACGCATGAGCACCCACGCATCGAGAAGGCAGGCGATGAAGTCATTTCGACATTTTTGCACCTCTCACCTGCTAGTCGTCCGGACGTTCGCCATGGGGACGACGAAAGCGGAGGAGCTTCCCAAAAGAGCGAGAGCAACGCAGGCAGTCTTCATGGTGGTGAGGGTGATGTGTTAACTTTGATACGGCGAGGGAGAGAGGGTGAAACGTTGATGAGGGAGGGTGATTGAACACGATATCATATGAGCGAGGAGGGGATATCTCGTCTCGTCCCCGGGGGTTTCTGCAGGAGGCAAAAGGCTTTCTCTCCCAATCCATGAACAGAGGAGATCTGCGCGCGCGCGACCCGCGATCTGTTTCGTGGTGGGTGCGTCGTGGGTGCGTGGTGCACTTCTCTTCACGGCCGTGCCCTTTCATGCATTCACCACTTTTCCACCACTTTATCGGACAACAAGTCATATCAGGAATGAGGTTTACGTCGAAGACATGACAGCTGTGTACACAAAAAAAACACGAAGTTTGCACATGCTAAATATCAATGAAGCTGGATGTAGGAGTACGTATGTGGGTCCGCATGCCAAGGATCCTAGACTAGACTATGTATACTCTCGTCCTCTTCTTCCGAATACCTGTCGTCCACATATCTATGCAGATGCACACTTGCTTGGTTGTTCCCCTATTCGGCTAGGCTAAATCCCCGCCCCAGAATGCCCGCGCGAGAGACACGACGAAAAGTGTGCCGAAAGCTCGCGCTGGAAAAATGGCCGCCCAGAAACAACGTTGATAATCGCGGTTATTGCGTAATGGTTAGCAGTGGAGTCAGAGAAACTGCACTGTCAGCACATTTCCGTCTGGTTTGTTCGTCCGTGGTTTTAGAAATAATTGCCGCCCCCTTTTCCAAGAGTTTGCGACGGAAATATCAGGACTTTACCTTGGAAGTGATGATACTGCTGTAGTGTCACAATGTCACAATACAACAGCAGTGAGTTTCCAACGGCTGACGGTTCATCTCTGAACATATCACCACGAGTGACGAGACAGCAGCATACACGCCGTCAATGTAGCGCCACCAAATTACTTCCAATTGGAACGATGTTTTGGCATCAAACACCGCGTTGATGTTAAACGTTTCGCGATTTCGCGAAGATATGCTTTGAAAATACAAAGTCATTTTCGTTCATTTCGGGCCTTCGTCGTCGTCGATGATTCCCGCCCGTCACAACCGCACAGGGGGGCACCGGGGCTTTTGCCCCAAACACAGCGTTACCTAAGCGTTAATTTGTCGCACTCTTATAACAACAAATACGGCGACGCCTAGCTAGCCGTTTCCAGGTCGAAACACGCATGGCTGCGCACGCAAGCACTCAGAACCGCCCGTGCATCATGCCGAGCCAAATGTTTTGCGCTTGGAACTCCAGCCCCGCTAGCTCCTGCACCGCTGGCCTCAAAGACTTGACGTGCTCGGCCATCCGCACCTTGTCCTCCCCGCCCATCGCATCCCCCCTAACCTTCGCCCCGTACTCGACAGCACCGGCGGGGCTGGTGCCACCACTACTACCACCACCACCCTGGAGGCCCTGGGGCAAGGCGAACCCGGGGCCTAGCTCGGCGATTGGCGCTTGCAGGAGGATCTCCACCTCTTTGAGCAGGCCAGGCTCGTCGTACCACACGGTGCAACCCCCTTTCGAGAGTGTTTCGCGGTTGGTGCAACCTTGTCCTCGATTCCGGCAGTTCTTGTGGTACCAAACCTGGATGGCGTGGTCATGGAGGGGTGGGGGGTTGGCATTGTTCGCCAATCTCTCCGACCGTCAGGCATTTCCTGCTTGGATGTGGTGCTGTAGGGATGTATGCTCTCTGCTGATCAATTCCGCTCATGTTCCTTCTGGCCCAAGGCGTCCATTGAAAGCATCTCTCTGTCATTCCGCACAACTTTTCTCGGCATGTCTCCGCGCCAACTGCCGCACGCTACGATGGGCGGGCGTGCTCAACCAATCCCGCTTCGATACCCAAACAAAAAAAAGGCTCCTATTTAGTTCCAATCACTACAATAGAAGTAGTTATTAGCAATTCTTTCCTAGAAACTCATCTCCTTATGTACATGTTCGCATGTTTTCCTGCCTGCGACGCCTGTCTCGTCGAGAGTGCCAACCGCTGTGTTCACGGTTCATTTCTCACGCCCCGCACCTTCTCCTTGCAGCCGTCCCGAGCCACGATGGACACCGCCAGCCCGAGACAGTCCTGCCGCCCCACGCGGCCTATCCTGTGGATGTAGTTCTCGGGCACGTCGGGGAGAGTCATGTTGATCACGTACGGTAGCCCCTTGATGTCCACGCCCCTTGCCGCAACGTCGGTGCAGATCAGGAACCGGACATCCCCGTCCTTGAAGGCGTCAAGGTTTGCCTGGTGACAAGCATTAGTGTGTGGTATATCCCCGAGACTAGTCATCGGGTCGGAGACCAAGAGTCAAATCTTGAGGCTCGCGGCTGAAATCATGAGCGTTCGGAAAGCTTGATTTTCATGAATGTGGTTCATTACGGACGACGGCGGTTCGTTTCAGCTGGATCGATTGGGTCTACTTAGTTGCTAGGTCCTGTGTTCATCGCTGCATTCGAACAGCGGCAACAAAAAAAAACGTCCCGCCCCTGCGGAGTGTGGAGAGCACAAGAGCACAACTTGCGGGAAATATACGCGACATTTTCGGTTTCCACAAGCCGCTACCGGCCGTCACTGCTGTTGGACGACTTGTGTCTAGAGCATATGGTCTCCTCTCCCGCCCCTCTGTTCAGGCACACACCCGTCTTTGCTGCATGGATCGCATGCCGGCCAACACGCAGCAGGAATAGGCATTCTGATCCCCGCTTTCTTGGTGGCCGGTGAAGCGCTTGCCACCGCCAGCTTGTGTTAGGAACTCCTCCAGAAGATCGCAGTCCAAGTTAGTTCTGCGGGAACAATGGAAACAGCGTACGAACGGGCACCAGCGAGCGTTGGATCGGGATACGGGTGTTGGTGGTGTGGAATGGGCTGTGCCAGCAAAAAAAGCGCGATGCCGGCCCCGGTGGTCTAGTTGGTATCCGCGAAACCTTCTAGAGGTCAGGAAAGGGGTTCGAATCCCGGCGTAAGCGAGCTTTTCTTTCAAAGTGAGTTTTTCTCTCGCTTCCGCTTCTGGTCTAGCGGATAGCGCTAGTTCGTGTGTACACAGAGGGAAGAGAGTGCTGAACTCTTCTCGCATTAAAAATCGAAAACAAAGTATCGTAGGAGGGGAGGGTAGAGAGGGGCTCTTCTGTGTGACCACGGGTTGGAGTAAACGGCACTAGTGCTGTGAGCGCTGATTGGAAGTGAAGACAAAAAAAAAAATCCGTCGCCGTGGTTCCTATCAAGCGCGCGTGAGCGCTGCATACTTCATCAAAGGCGCTCCTCTTCCGACAAAAGTAGGTATGCGTATCCTTTTGTTTCGCCTGGACGACACCTCCACCCGCGTATGGTTCTCCGTCAAGCGGCCAGCGCGACCAACTCCTGACCAGAACACTGCCCGATGCAGACATGCAAGGTAAACACGAAGAAAGTCATCGACACGATACACCACTGCTGTTACCGCCATTACGGCTAACATCAATCGTTTTCAAGGACAACTGAGCGCGGAACCACTAGAGTGTCGACGGACGGGCGTGCGTGTGTTAGACTTCATACCTCACCTGCAGAAAATGATAGCCCGGTCCATGCCCAGAGCCTCGACTACCCCTAGAAGAACCTGCATCCCCCGGCGGTGGGTGGGTCGCACCATCATCATCAACGTCACGAAACCGAAAGCCGTTTATCTTTCTCGTTCGGGTCCTGACACCATCATGGTGTAGCATTGCGAAAAGACGGTAACCAGCCCTCTAGGTTCTCTCGAGACACAACCTCCCACCCCCACAAAGAATCAACAAAGCAGACCAACCGCACTTCGAGATCGAGCAAAAGGAACGCGCAGGAAACTAATGCCCCAGCGAGAACGCGAACAATATGATATTTGAGTGTAGGTTCCAAGAACGCCCTAAAGAACAACAAGACAACCCTTCGTGACATAGCGGCTACATCAAGAGTATCGTGCGGGTTGTGAACTGTAATGCTGCCACCTTTGCGCCAACACATGCGACCGAAAAACACGCCCAACACACTCGGCCAGGGATGATGGAAAAAAACAGGGATACGTACTCCGTAAGCCTACAGAGTGGGCCCTCAGCCGCTGGTACCAAACCAAAACCCTACGACCGTAGGAAATTTCCCCCCCAAGTCTCTCTGGCCGACTCTCTTGGCCGACATAGGCCGCTGGGCAATAGACGTGCGTGTGTTGATTCCACGCACCTGCGGCTTCATCCGCTTGAGCTTCTCCGCCCTCTCCTCGTCCCCCCCCTCCGACCCCGCACACACCCCGTCTGTCCTCGGCTGCACCTTGGCCTTCGCCGGGACGGGTCCGACCTCACCGTCCTTGTCGGGGTCGACTCTAACCACCACGTGGTGAACCGTCTGTGGAACCGTGTCTCGCCCCTTGAGATCCACCCAGGTGGGACGGTCGCAGATGCTGTCGGCGAGCTTGGCGATCTCAGGCGAGTGGAGGGTGGCGGAGAAGAAGCACACCTGGGGGGTTTCCGGCGATGTTCCGTGTTGCCAGAGGAGGGGACAGCATGAAACAAAGAACAAGCAGGACTTCGTAGAAGCGGCAAGGTCGGAGTGCATGTCCAGCGCACCGTGCTGCACTACGACGACAAAGTGCGTAGAGAGCGCGTGGTATCGAGTGTTCACTTTGTAGTACCACGGCCATATTATTGTTTCGCCGTAACCTTCTTGGGATGAGTCCGGGCACTTTTGGCAACACCAATCTATTCACCCGTTACCTGTAGTCTCAAGTCCCCTACACCGTGCTGCGGCAACCGCTTGTAGATCTCGGCGAGCGTCTTGAGCTGATCCGTCTGCAGCAATCTGTCCGCCTCATCCAGGACCTGCGCGAAAAAAATAAAAAAACAAATTCCAGCCAAGCCGGGTAGCAGGATCATGATAGGAACGCATCACGCCGCGATGGAGAAGAATCTTGAAATGTACCACGTGATTCATGGACGCGGTGTGGACTATCACATTTTATTTAGCAATCCTTCGTACTTGCGGTATTTCTAGAAATAAGGGAGGTCGGAAAACTAGCCACAGCGTGGCGGGGTACGCATACATAGGAAAAAAGTATTATTCGCAGAATCCCACCCCGGGGTATGCTCGCGACGGGATACTGCCTGCAGGGAATATCCGCCCGATTGATTGGTGCGTGCGTGTGTTCCCTTGGTTGTCGTCGACCACGCTAACCAGTCGACCAATGAAAGTGCCCGAGTGAAAGAAGAGGCCAGTATGGAGACAAGGAACGTAACTCACTCCGAGGAAGAAGAATCAGAGAACAGATGAGAGGGACAAAAAAGAAGCAGTATTAAAGATATTACCGAGACCTTCAATGACAGATCTATTTAGGCCAAGACGAGACACAAAAGACGCCAAATAGCGCGTACACGCCAGGCGCAGCACACGTAGAGACCAGGACTTAACAACACGCACCAACCCCTAGCCCCTTTCAGAGTCGGAGACCCCCTCCTATAACCTGTTGCCAACTGAGCATTCACATTTCCGACAAACGAACGGGGTAGGGCACGCGAAACACGAGCTCTCACCAGCAGCCTCACGAAGCGGGGTTTGATAAGGCCTTTCTCCAAGAAGTCTAGCACCCGGCCGGGTGTCCCAACGACTACATCGCACGGGCTCCTCGCCAGCTTGGACGCGTGTCGAAAGTCCGTGCCCCCGACCAACAGAGCGTGTTCCAAGCTCGGGGAGCTCAGATGCCGCTGGCAGAGGCAGGCGGCGAATGTGCCATGTCGTGAGGTTGACAGGGCGGCAAGCCGGCTTTTCACATCGACGTCGGCTGTCTACAGCTCGCTGCATAGCACGTGGTAAGGCGGCTAAGTATAAAGGTGCTATCAGCAGTGCAGTGCGAAAGTGCAACGGCAGTGCCGGGCAACAGGCGTGGGCGTCTAGCTCTCTGCGACGCAAACCGGCACTTTGCTAGATAGCCTTGAGGTACACCATTCAATCATCGTCCCCAAGATTTCATTTCTTCCGGGTGGAAATCGGCACATGAGAGACCCGAAAAGAGCGGTTTATGTCAGCGGGTAGCCGCCGGGATCTCGTACCTTAGGACGAGTTCTTAACTCAGGTGAGGCCTGCAGTCGAAGCAAAGAGACACGTGCAACGCCAGGAACACGACTCACGCACAATGAACACCATCGTAGCACGACACGATACAATACACCACAACACGTGATACCTTGAAGGTCTCCAGGCAGTCCGACACCTGCTCCGCCAACTCTCTCGCCGGCTCCAGAATGATCGCGACAGGGGTTCGGCTCCTTGCGTCCCCGGGGTCCCGCGGCGGTGCCTCCTCCCTTGCCTCGACCACTGCGGCGTGCTCACGGGAGATCGAAGCCATAGGAGTGGCGTCGCCCGATCCAGCAAACGGGGCGGTGAAATCAAACGACGCCTGCGGCAAGTAGCGTATTGAGACCAACGAGTAGACGGGTGTGAGCCTGGGGCTGGCACTGAGTGAAGCGTGCTTTGCGTTGGGGTCATGGAGGTGTCTAGATCGTACTTCAAATATCTCCAACGCCACAAACGCTGACCATTTTATATGCGCCTGCTACAGTAAGACCGATCCGGCGGCCAAAAGACGCTCGTTGCACATGATGTGGCAGACCCGCCTGCGAACCTGCGCGCTCTTGAGTGCCACCGCAGGGAAGAAAGGCCCCTTGGCGCCAGGAGGAAGCTTGAACGCCACTCCGAGATCTCTCCCGTTCTTGGAAAAAGAAATCTCGCCCTGGGTCACGTACGCGGGCGTTGCCGTTCACCAATGAGAAACGCACCAAGAGCACGAAAAATGAGGGAGTGGAGGTCGAGATGCGCATGCCGGGCGTTCAACGCGCCAATAGTAAACAATATAATACCCGTCTCTCTCGCGGTGCAAGCTGCCCATCGTTTGTGGAAAGGAACGCGCTGGTCTCTGTGCGTTGACAGGAAGCACGGGCGGTCCATGATGCATCTACCCGCGCATAGTTGGCGATAAGCGACCGTGAGATCACATTGCCTCCCGTGCGGCATATCGGCAGTGCAGCCGACTGTCCACAAAAGAATGCCATGAAGCAATACACCATACCCACCTTCAGAATATGAACTGTTGGCTGTTTCTCTCTCTTGTTGCCGCCATTTGTTCAGCCTCGGGCACAGAGGAATGCACCAGGGCAAGTACACGCACCGACCGCACGTAGGTCCAGGTCTACCGTGTCCAGGACCCTTAACACCCCTTCGTCACGATGAGCATAGCATATCCCACGCAGCGCTGCGGGTACCTGCTCAACACAAACAAGTCGCCCATCCACGCCAACACTCACCTTGACCAAATCAAGCCGACATCCCACCCTGTCGCCCGTCGTGAAAGTTTCCCCGTACTTCTCGAAGCTCCCGTTAGACTTCATGGCCGTGCCGCCGAAGCCGTAGCCGAAAGCGTCCGTGCCGAGGTTGAAGCTCGCGCGCTGCGTCGCCCAGCCAAATCGGCACAGGTTCCCGAAGTCCACCTTCACCTGAAAGGTGGGAGATAAGTTGATGGCGCGTTCGGAGCTGCATCACGTGCACGAAGCTGAGGACAAGGGGCCACGTCGTGACACGGTTTGATAGGTTTGCTTCAACCATCGTCTTAGCTTGCGAGCATGTGCAGCCATCCTCCCACCCTTCCTCGCCGCCCGGCGTATTCGGGGCAAAAGCTCTTGTCAAAGTGGCGCTGTGTTCGGCGTTCACGCGGCGCTTGAGCTACCGAGGGAACGTGGCACATGCCGCATGTCCAGCAAGGGTAACGATCGTTGCCACTTCCTGCAAACCAAAACCTTTGAAAATACGCTACGGTGGCGAGGCAAGTCTGTTTCAGCTTGCTTAAACAAATAACCGAGTCTCGCTCGCAGGCTGCTGCTGCCTCAGGCAATGCAGACCAACGAACGATTGCAACGTCCGAGTTCCGGCTTGAGCGAAACAGCAAGCTAACAAATTGCTCTGTTCTTGTTGGTCGTCTCTACAGAAACAACTCAACCTTTCCGTAACGGAGCTGTTGAGCTTCGAGGCCTCATCGCCGCAGAGTACCTGTAACTCCGACGACTGCATGTCTTGCTTACGGCCGAGGAGGTGGGATCTATCGTGACGAATAGGCAAAGTACTGCGCGACGACGGTTTTTGTTGTTTGCTGATCCCCGAGGTTCTAAGCCGTTACCCTGCGCTTCACACTTGTGAACCTCAAAGGTGGCCATGGTGGAACCCCAGCGCTAGTGGCCACCGAGCAACACGTCCGCGTCCTTCCGTACCTCGAAGCAATGGACGCCGCCTAGCACTCCAACTTCTCCCCTCGCGCCCGCCCACTTGGACTCCTCGCACTGGCATGACAACCCGTCGGCAGACACCACCATCTGGCCATCCTTGTCAGTCCTGCTTATTCGGCAAACACTACTGCTACCCTTGCCGCCACTCTGCTTCCCGGTAGGCCTGCTTGCAGCGCCGCCGGCCAAGCGACTCCGAAGGTCTTCTTGGACGATCTGCAACAGAGGTAGGCTGAAGGCGGCGGTCTTGCCGCTCCCCGTTTCCGCCGCTACCATGACATCTCCGCCGCCTAGGATAAGCGGAATGGCCTCATCCTGCAAGGTGCCGACAGCAATTAGCGAGCGAAAATAATGTAAATGGAACTGCACTGCTGTTGGAGGCAACAGTTTTTTCTCAACAAGGCACCAGCCCGTGCCGGAAAGGGTGCCGGGAGGGTAAGTGCAGACCTTGTTCCCTTGGGTGTTGCCGCACTCGCGTTAGATTGTTAGATTGTCAAGCTGGGGCGGGCAGCGGCCCGTTTTACCTATCAACCAGAGATTTATGGGGCGTACACTAACAGCACCAAACCAGGGAGGTACCTCGCAACGTTATTTATCGTTTGAGGTCGAGTACGATCAACATGGATGCTGTGCAAGGAGACAGCGGCCCCGAGGCTCTCTTGTGCCTGTTGCTGCTGTTGCAGATGCATACCTGAACGTTCGTCGGCAGAAGATATCCAAGGTCCTCCGTAACAGCTCGAACGAGTTCGGGAGCAAGCCCCAGCGCTTCGAACCCACCAGCCATAGTAATCACAAGCGAACCAACGCTCTACACCGAACACTGCTCCCGTAATTGTAGGTTGCAGCTAGACGCGGAGAGCGGAGAGTGGAGCGCGTGATGGCGAAAGGTTCACAAAAACGCCTTGGAAACCACAGATTGTGAACTCCCAGGAAGTGTAGTTGCGCCGCACCTCGCACCTCGCAACCACGGGAGCCACGCACGGAGGCCAAGCTAAGCTGCAAGGGCCGCCGCACATGCTCTCTAGATACGCTGTTGCAGTTCCCTGGGCATGCGGAGCCCTTCTTACAGCCACGAGAGGAGAAGAGTTGCGACTGGAAGGTTCGCTGGGATGGCCATATTGCTGCCGTTCATGACCAGAGGCTGGGCGTTTCAAACGTCATGTATCAACGCTCGCGCGATTGGCGGCGCGAGGCTCCTTAGCTCCCGACAAGCTCTGACGGATCGAGTTCCCAGCCCTCAGCAAGAAAGTCATTGCCCTCCTGAAGAGGAAGCCGGGAGAGAGCACAGTGAAGCGGAACCCAGGAGCTTTTTTGAGCAAATAGGTCGACCAAAATACATCGCCGCGCCGATGGTCGAGCAGAGCGAAGCTGCGTTTCGATACTTGGTTCGACGGCATGGCTGCGGTCTTGCATACACACAGATGCTGCACGCCGAGAAGTTCGCACCTGATAACGCTGGTGAGTCACCCCATACGCAGTGGTTGACACATGGGCTTCTTCCAGCCACCACAAGTGTTGGGCGAACATTGCACTACTGCTGTATGCATAGCACACACCATATGGTACTGTAGCTGACAGCAGTGGGGGGGCGTCAACAACGCCGGTGATTAACCCAGGTGGCGCTGTACACCGCCGGTGAATATTTGCTGGGCACATACTGGATCACCAAGTCATTCTGTGCATTGACAAGCGCCGGCCTCTGGACAGCGCCGGTAGATGCGCCGGGCACACACCGGCACCCCTTACTGTAGCCCTGTGCATGCGGTCATCACACGTTGGGCTTGACAGTCTCGAACAGCACAACGGTGGCGGGCGAACACAGCGCGGTACTTGGGATTGTTGCATACCTCTGTCAGGCTAGTTTGCTTTTTTACTGTGGCGGAATGGTTCCCGAACTACATAGACCCCTTGCAAGGTATATGCATCCCCATAGGCTGTATGTGTTCTTGCGGTGATTCCGTTGCCCACTCCCGCGTAGCGCACGAGACTAGAGCAGTAGCCCTCGAATACGTTCGCACCCCCCCAGCATCGTTCGTGTACGCGTACCATCACCATTCTTACCGGCATCCTCCCCCTTCCTCCATGATGCTTGTATATAATTGATTTCTGAATTTCGACTAAGTTTATGCTGATCGTTCGCTACACCCTACGTCCAACGTTACGCCTTGTCTCGCGTGCTGCGACGCTTGTACTGCAGAGAAGTTTCGTCGACGGCGCTTTGATGGCGTAGATGACGAAGAGGATCGTCCGCTGATAGTCCAGTTCTGTGGCAACAACCCCGACACCGTGGTGAGTGGTCAAACGCTCCTCCCCACTCAGAGTGTTTCCTCAACGTGTGTACCTGCGACCCATAGCAAACCTGCGGTCTTCGAAAAGATGACGCTCGTTTTAGTTGCTATGAATAGCACGGTGAAGACGCAGGACGAGGCCGGCGCTAGAAAGACACTAGCCGTCGCAGGGTTTTTGTATGTAGGAAACATGTTGGATAAAGCATACAATCGGGGGGGTTGGGTTAGGGTTAGGGTTAGGGAATAGGGTCTGCGTACCCCCTCCCTGTTCTCTTTCCTAATAATACTGAGTTTCCCGCGAAGGCGGTCCTCTAAGCAGCATCACAAGCAACGGTTCAGACATCGTACGACTGACGATGGTCTTCGCCTTCCTACATACATTCTATTCAACAGGTACGAGCGGCACGACACGTCGAACATCGGTGTGACGCCGTGGATTTGAACCTGGGGTGCCCGCAGAAGATAGCCAAGAAAGGGAACTACGGTGCCTACCTTCTCCCGAACCCGCAACTCTGCGAGGACATTGTTGCTGCGATGAGCAGGTTGGCTCTTGTACTGATTGCTGGGCCCGACCAACGTGTCAAAGTCTCCTGGATTGATCGTATTGAAATTTTGAGTGTCAGCCGTTTTTTTTACAGAAGCGGTCGTCTCCCGGTACGAGGAGCTGCCACACCGAATCACCAGCATATCTCAGGGGGCAGCGTCCAAGAGATTATACCCATACTTTGCTTACATTTGTCAACAACGCCAGGTTGTTTGGTTGGCGGTGGCTATCCTCGTGCTAAGTGATTCTATGTGGGAGGCTTACCCTCTCTTCTAAGGCCCCTTCCGGCTCTATTGTAGTGGTATTCGGTGCATATTCTAGCAGCGAAGCTCTACTAGCCCTTCCTTCAATCTGATACTTCCCCGCGCACCTGCCGTTGTTGCGTGTACTTCCAGAGAGCTATCGGTCCCTGTGACAGTCAAGATCAGGGCGCAGGACAGGGAGTCGGACACGCTGGACCTCGCTCGGAGATTAGAGGGAGCTGGGGCTCAGTTGCTCACCGGTGCGGTCATATGCCGGATCCATGTAAAACCTTCTAGCAATCCCCGGCAGTAGCTTCCCCCCTCTCCTGTTTGCAACGCCACTCCGAGAACGAGGGTGAACTGTTGGACAGAACACGCATAGCTTCGAAACCTGCCGCGTTGCATTATACGTGACAGGAGGGAGGGGGTGCGGACAGGCTGCGGTTCCGTTGACCTCAGCGATTATTGGTTACCACAATCACGAGCGTTGTCGTGCCTAGTCGCCAACCTTTTCTCAGGGCGCAAAGAAACCCGTTCTCCCCAAGCTGACGACTGCCTCTCATGTCCGCACTTGCCCCCCCCCCCCCCCTCCTTCGTTCGCTTGAAGTACACGGCCGCACGGTTTCGTCGCAAAAAACGAAGCAAGGGGCCGCTGACTGGGACATCATCAGGAAGGTGAAGGAAGTCGTGGACATCCCTGTAGTGGCCAACGGGGGCATCGAGACAGGGGCTGACGCGGAGCGATTGCTGGAGGAGACCGGCGCAGACGCCGTCATGTCGTCCGAAGGCTTGTTGGAAAACCCCGCGCTCTTCGACAGCGATCTCATCCCTATGGAGGAGCTGCAGGGGCTCGAGGTCTGGAGGGTCTCTCTCGTTCAGTTGCTAGTCTGCGAGGGAATGCTAGAATCGATATCGGTGTGTCTGGATGTGGTCAGCTTTTCTATTTCCTAGAAGAATGTGTGTGCCCAAAAGGTATAACCCTTGGGTGTAATACTTGGCTCTAGTGCTGCTGTTCTGGCGAGGTACGGGGCGGTTGCTTTCTCTTTGTCCACAACGTGGGCAGCGGCTCGTTGCGACTGCAGCCTAGCTCTTTCAAAGTAGACGTTGTGAAGGGCTGAGTGCCAAGCGGTCCTACCGCGTGCAAAAAGAACACCGCGCATGTTCTTTGCATATTTAACCATAAACGCCTGCTTGCCGGGGCCTCAGGTCGCTCATCGCATATTGTCGTTCACGACGGAATACATGGAGCTCGTGAAGCGGTATCCAGCGCCAATGATCTCCATCAAGGGGGTGAGAGCCATTGTTTCGTCCGTTCTATTCGACCCACTAGACAAGAATGGCAATCCTGTAAAGTAGGGTCGGTGTAACCGCCACGGCGTAGCCGTCGATACCCCCGTGGTCCGTTCCTAGGAGACCAGGGTATGCACCGATAATCGAATGCTGTGCACACCGGAGAAGAGGTCCCTTGGCAAGCAAGTCTACCGGTTGACTCCGTTCATGATACCCGTTCCAGTCCAACGTCCAGTAGCGTTCTATACGACGACAAGTCATGTCGGAGTACTCGCACGCATCCCGCGGCGAAACTTTCAGAGGTCCTACACAGAGTAGTGGCTGGATGGCCCTGAGTTCGCTTTGCTGAGTCTTGCACCTTGTGCCACCGCCTTATTGCTGTCAGCACCTGTTCAAGATGCTCTACCGGCTGCTGGAGTGCCACCACGACCTACGCGCCCGCCTGGGGCACTACCAATGCGATGCCATCGAGGCGGATGTCATCGTACACGAGGCAAGCCGAACACACACATCCGCCTATTCCCATCTTCTTGTCGGTGGCACTTCGCTTCTTCACGTCGTCGGTGCATGGACCCTGTTTACACTCGAACTTGTTTGTCGCGAGTGCTGCCCTGTACCCTCCACTTGCGGCCGTGCTGGCAACCGGTAGAGTGGTTCATTTGGGTGCCGTATGTTGTCGGGATGTATGTTGAGTAGCACCGCAAGGACGTAGTTGTAGTTGCGTTCTCGGTGTAAAGGCGGATATCGATCGACTTGCAGCCCTTTTTTTTCACAGTGAGTGCAGTTCTGTGGCAGGGCGCATTTTTTTGGGAGAATTTGAGGGTGCCTGGGGGCACAACACGATTATCTTTCTTCTTTGCTCAGTTTCAGACCAGAGACTATACCAACATCATCCCCGCAGACAACGTGCTATTAGAGCCCGATCTCTGTATGTCGGCAGCAAATTTCGTGCGTGGTTTTGTTCCCGCCTGTCGTCTACAATTTGTGCGCTGACACGATTGAATGCCTTCAACTGAAGCCCAGCCCAACCCCCCCCTTATCCTGCCCAAACGTCGCCACAGCTGTGCCATCGATATTTCTTCGATCCTGATACGCGAACGCCGTTGGATGGGGCTATGGACACGTCGGGTTTGCGCGTATCACCCAAGCAATGGTATAGACGGCACAGGAAGGACGAGGCATTAGAACACAGGGCCAACTTGTGTACGTAATTTGTTGTACACGCATGCATGAGTGTCGTAGAGGGCTAGGTTCGTGGTTCCCCAGTGTGTGGCTGCCTCTTTGTTGGCCTCCTTGTAGTCTATTGATCTAGTAATCACACTTGTAAGTTAGAGGCCTCCAACTAGGTTTTGCACCCACTCAAACACGTACTCGAGGGCAGGTAGAAGGGGGTTCAACAGAATGGGCGTTGCTTTTAGATTCGGGCGAAGCGTGGATTCTTTTGTTCAAGATTACACGCCAGGACACAAGATGCAGTAGTAGACTACATTCTACTGTGTACCTTGCGGAAACAACACCATCAGAGTGGAGGAGGAACTGATGGAGTTACTTCCGGCGAACGCAACGGAGCTGGACAGAACGTTACTCCTATATTTTTTCCTTCCACCGCGAGTCGACAGGCCTGTCCCTCCACTCACTGAAAAGACTTCAGCAGATCCCTTTGCACTGTAGTGGTTAGTGGTTATATCTCGAACGGTAGTCTTTCTGTGTTTTTTTGTCTAGTCTAGACTACTCCTTGAAGTTCATAAGATCAACTCAAAGGTCTGAAAAAAGAAGATACAACAGTTAACGTCGAAAAATGTCTGAAGTTATACTGGACTCTGAAGTCTACCATGTAGAGGGACAATTCGTGGCAATTCGTTCACACGGTTGTGCCGAGATAGTGCTTTCCTAACTTTTTCATACAAAACAGGACAACATACAGAGAGATGCACAGGATGGCTACCAAACTGTCTTGTTGACCCTGTTACCCACGGGGGAGATATCACTGTTGTGTGCCGCTTGGGCAATCGTAAGAAAACAGAATTTTCGCTGACTCTTACGGATTCATGCTAATCTATGTATATCTTAGACTCTTTTCTTCGATAGAGATGGATTCGTTGGGCCGTTGTACAGAAGATATGTAGTCTATGGGGTAACATACAAGAAACGGCAAGCCACCATGGACCACAACTCAAAAAGCAACAGCCTTCCAGAGCACTGCCGAGGGTGCGGATTGCATGACGAGCACCGCCTGTTCCTGCCGATACCTAGCACATATTTTTTTTATGTGCGCTGGTCAACAGCTTCCTTCAAAACCTACACCACTCCTCCTTCCTCTACCCCCCACTCGTCTCTCTGCATCCAATGGTTGTACAGTATTTGTTTCCTTTGAGTGCTTGCGGGCCGCGCGCGCGCTAAACTGTTCCGTTCCCTGGAGATATGTGGTGAACAGTGTACATCAAGACTTGGAACAGGGAACAGGGAATTCCGAGTTCCCTGTTCCCTGTTCCCTGTTCCCCAAAGTGCAGTTAAGACACGCCTGGACGCCAGAACGCCCTGATGAAAAAAAATAGGGCGTCCTTGCGTCCTGGCAAACGTTGGCCGCCGCAAATCATATTCTCGACGGTTTCTCAGGGGCACACACACGCCTCCTTTAAGTACAAAAAAAAAAGTGTCCACTCGAGACGTCCAGACCTGCCCGTTGCAGCTCACAAAAGCCTCCGACATCGTCCTATCTCCTGCTGCCTTAGGGATGGGTTGCGCTTCATCCAAACCAGAAGAGGATTATGACAGCGCGGGAGGTGGATTGGGAGGAACGATAGGGAACGAGGCTGCAGATGAGGTACGCCGTCAAACTCAAACACATCTCAAACGCTGGTCCCAAATAAATGATGGGCATGAGCCGGACAAACAAGGATGGAGGCAATAAACATGTAGCCCCAAGAACAAGAACAGGCGTGCGGGGATCCTGTGCCTCTCGCCCACCACCTGCTTTGTCAATGCTTGCAATCAGTAATCGGCACATGCACTTGTGCGAGCGTCCCCGCCCGTTGGGGTTAGCTAAATACCCTGGACACCGTGAGCAGCTGCAACCCCAACATATCAACCCGTACCGAAAATTCGAAGGAACTTCGTTGGGCATTTGCGGTTCAGAGAATACCCCGTCCTCGGTCCGGAACCGTTCCAGGCGTTCCAGGATCGGATCTGCTCAACGGTGGATAAACCGTCGCCCGTCGCCGCTTTTTAGGGCCTGTAGCAGGACGGCATTTTTTTTCTTTCTTTGCACCCGAAAAGCCGCAAGTGCCAAGGAACGAGAGAGCGTGAGAGAATCCAAAGCGTCTGCTAGTAAGCAGCAGCTGCAGTAGAACCCGTAGTCAAGCTTTGAAGAGGTCAAGCACCTGGCTTGAAGAGCCACCTACAGCAGCAGTAGACAGCGGCACAGGGCATCAGTGCTTTGCCCTCTGATGGGGTTGTTCTCTTCCAAGGAGTTCGATGGGGACTCTGCTGGGACTGCCCGGGGTGGTCGAGGCCGAGGGGCCGCTTCCGATGAGGTTCGGGAGTGATTGACCTACCGTAGGTTGCGTTGGTTGAACCATTCGCCGATGAACGACGCCGAACTTGAAGCAAGCTGCACGTCGTAGACAAGGCAGCGTGCCCAACAAAACTTGCTGCTGTAATATTCTTGTAAGAACACAGCGTGTCCGTTACGAATACAACACACCACCAGCCACCAGCCAAGCTGGTTCAACCTGTGTGGCGGATGGCCTGGTACGGCAGTTCTCGTAATGGCGTGTGCATTGGCTTCTGGTTGTTTGGACTAGGTCTGCAGCAGTCAACTGCTACTGCTGTATGTTGTATGTTGTATGTACTGCAGTATCAGGACACTGCGGGGGTGTAGAGAAAATATTCTGTCATTGCTGCTATACACCGAGGCGGGAAAACCTGCATGTCTTCTCTGTCCCCCGAAGCAGAGTGTCCACGATGGTGCTGACAAGGTTGTTAACAAGATAGCATGCTCTCCATTATCTCCCACAAGGCCTCCACAAGTATTTTTAGTTGCTTCCTCGCTGCTGCCACGTTCCTACTTTGTACTGCTTTGAGACCTTCCACGTTGTGTCGTCTATTGTACATGCTGGCTCTTTACTTGCTGTCGATACCCTTACAAACGGGCGTACACCTGCTGCGCTTCTACATACGACGACTAGAATACCCCGGCTGCTGCTGCTGCTGCTGCTATTGCCCTACTATCTAAATAGACTGGTTTGCATTATCGACCTTGACGGCCATGGGCATAGAGCGCGACCAGAATTACCCCTCTTTGAACTTCAACTTGCTTCTTCACGGACCTAAACGCCTATAAACACGGCGCCTTTTTTTTCGGCATTTGTAAAGGGCGGTGATAGGTTCACAATACATTTTATACACCCGCGAGACTCGACCAAACCTCCAAGAAAAACTTCGGTCCGTGTCTCTTAAGCCCCTGGCTTGTTTTTTTCTGCTGCTGCTGCTGCTGCTGCTGCCGTTTGCTGTGCTGTAGATCCGATTTGATCCTCTTTGTCTTTATGTCCAACCGTCCAACGTGTATGCCCAACCTGCATGTCAACAAGCCTCTTTGTCGGCGGCAGGGATTCTTTCGGTCGACGACTTCTCCTGCCACACATACATACCTCCTCACATTATGTGTTTTTCGCCCCTTTTTCCTTCGCCCGCCCTCCCGATAACTTGCTTTTCTTGTCGACGGACAGGCGGCCTCGGTAATCGCGGGAGCCGGGCTTACCGCGCGTGTGCACCTGTCGCTATCATGCGACGGCTTGGCCAACCTGGACGTCGGAAGCAAGAGCGATCCTTTCGTGGTAAGGGCGACAACACATTGGGGAATACCATACGTTCTGTATGCACAGGAACAACGGATGGGCGAAAATGATGAAACCGCGCGTTCGATTCCAACGGTTTCATCTGCACGGGAAAATGGAGTACACGTCTATGAGCCTCATCTTCTGTTTTTTGTTCCCTCGCCTACGTCTGTATGTCGTCAACTACCCTCGGCTGCGTCGGTGGTCAACGGTAGCAAGTTTGCGATGCCTAGTCGCACCCGCGAGAAGACGATTGAATTGTGCACTCTGCAATAGAGCATCCGATCCCCGTTCGTTTGGGCCATGTATACCGTCTCCGATGCGTCCCGCTGGTTGTGTCGTGGCCATCCTGGTTCTTTTGCACCGCGACGTTGGCGACGTTGTTGCCATAGAACGGCAGCACCTTCTTGTTTTCGGTTGGTGTCCCCGGCTGTCCCCTTCTCGTCCCAGCATGGGACCATCTAATCTTCGCGGAACGGGAAAAAGATGGCCCCATGCCGGGATGAGACCGGGACAGGAGAGTACACCAAGGAAGAAATGAAGGCGTGGCCGTTCTCTGGCAATGACGCCGCCAACGCCGCGGTGCGAAAGAACCAGGATGGCCACGCGGCGTGGGTGTAGTGTGAAATTGACGTCGTGTCTGTGTGCTCTCAATGCGTCCGTCGTCAGCGCGTCCCCGCAGCTTTTCCCACAAACTGGCGCTGCTGTTCTCTGTCGCTGAACGGCGTTGCGACGGCTGGTGTGATGCTCTCTGCCCGAAACGCTGTTGATGCCGCTGCCGCTGCCGCTGCCGCTGCTGCCGCTGCTGCTGCTGCTGCTGCTGCTGCTGCTGCTGCTGCTGCTGCTATCAACGTGGCTCTGCCCTTGGCTGGTGTGATGCTCTGAGCCCGAAACGCTGTTGATGCCGCTGTCGCTGCTACTGCTACTGCTATCAACGTGGCTCTGCCGTCGTAGTCCCGCGACTCTTGTTCCTAACCTCATCTTTCGCGGGGTACTATTATGTGCCAGGTGGTTTCAATGAAGTCGGGCAGCGATACGGGGTGGAGCGAGATAGGCAGGACCGAGGTGGTGGCTAACAACCTTTCCCCGAGATTCGTCACCCTCGTCCCTGCGGTGAGAAGATACTGCTGTGTGTCTACTAACACGACGACTTTTACTCTCTGCACCTTAGCGTAGAACATTTGCTTGAGTCACGTCTGTGCGCATCTTGTTTAATCGCGAGAACTTTCTAGTTTGTTCCTTTTCTTTATGCATGCAAGCATGTACTACTTCCTTGTTTCTCGTTCGCGTTCTTTTGATTCTACCGAATCCCCTGAGTGCCACCGTTGTTGGACACGAGAGTACAGGTATATCATATCTGGAAGACATGCAGGTTGCCAACATGAACAGGCTTCAGTGCTTGTGGTTCCGTTGAAGGGGTTGGGGGAGGAGGGGTACCCAAACTAAGGGCAGATTTTTTCCCTTCTCCTCTCCACCTGCCTCTCCATGCAAAAGGTTGCAGATACACGTTGAGAAAAAAAATTGAATCGATGAGAGGTGGATCGCTCAGTTTTGGGTAGTGCCTCTTTTTTCTGTAGATTCTGTGTGAGCAGCCAAATGGTCACAGGACTGAGGAGGTACGTCCCGTGCGACGATTCCCCTCGGTGGAAATGGGGGCACCCGATAAAGTTTCGGTGGCCAACGATTTCCGTCAATGTAATCCGGCAATGTAGTCCGGCAATGTCTTCCGTCAATGTCTTCCGTCGATGTCTTCCGTCAATGCCTTCCATCCATGTCTTCCGTCAATTGCGTCAATATCTTCGACTGCCCGACCCGTTCCTTTCCTCCCCCCGTTGTGCTGTTCATGCGTGACCCTTCTTTGTTCTACCTCCCTCTCCGAGGACGTGTCCAGAGGCTAGCTACACTTGGACTGACGTCTGACGTATGCACCTGTATAATAGCACCCTCCCCCCCCCTGCGGTTTGTGCGCCTTCTCCGCTGCAGACGTTCCGGTTCGAGGAGGTACAGATGCTCCGCTTTGACGTCTATGACGTCGAGGGCTCGTTTACCACTTCGGACGCCAGCAGGTTGGACGTCAGGATGCAGGTAGGTGCAGTACACGTTGGGCCCGGCTGAGTCAGTTGCCTTGGGTAAGGGCTGGGCTGCGCTTTTCCTTGCCGATAGCAAACGAGAGGCTTCGAGGACAACAAAAGTTGGAGTTGAGACTCGTGTTCCGTGTGGGACAAGATGAGCCATTTGTGTACTATGTAGGGCTGCTGTCGGCGTCACCCCCGCAAGGTGGATTAGGCGGCCGAGTTGCTCGCCAAGCCTGAGAGGAATTATTCGGGGTGTCCCACGAGTATGCGGGATGTCCCGGGCTTGTTGATACGGCTCTCAGGCAGCACTGAAAGGAAGGAAGCGGAAACGAAACCGCAGAGTTCGAAGCCTAGCGCAACGACCCGAGATACAAGAAAAGAAGTCAGGATTGTATAAACATGTATTGGAGTGAAGCCGAAACGCATACGTGAACCCGCCAAACGCTTCTGTTCCGTCCCATGGAAACGCTTCGATGGAAACCCCTCCTCGCGACCCGTGCGCTGACCGTTCCGTACCGTCACACGGTGTCCGTCCTGCGGTGTGGCAGACTAGTCAGGGAACGGCGGAGTGTGCCCTGGCGACAATCATGGGGGCTCATGGGCAGATGAGCGTCGAGCCGCTGCGCAGCCCGCACCTGCCTCATCAGAAGGCTTCGATAACCATCAGGGCCGAGCAGGCGAAGAACTCGAGCGACCTGGTCGTGTTCGACCTGGGGATGAGGGCTTGTCCCAGAGGGAATAAGAGGTGTGTGTGTTTTTGCTTTTCTTACTTAGCACCGACCGCGCTAGCCGGCTGACCAGTGAACATAAGTCAGTCAGTCAGTCTTGTAGCGGGATGAAAAACACGGAACAATTTCTCATCGAATGGTTCTACCGAGAGGGGGGGGCAGGAGTTGGACGACAGCAGTGTCTTGTGTTTGTGAAGTGTGTGTGTCTTTGTTGTTAGCATCAACCTCGCTAACCGGCTGACCAATGTAAAGAAACGCTTCTGAGACCTGGGGTCCCGTCAGGTGTGCGCCTGTCTGTCTGCGTGTGTGTATATGGTTCAATTAGTCAGCATCGACCGCCCTAGCCGGCTATCCAAGTGAAAGACATAGCGGGACGGAAAGTACTTCTCCGCAAGAGGGGCCGTGGAGTAGACTTGAGAGAACGCTTCAGCCTGTAGGATTAAGTACGAAATCAAGACGATGTGACACCGTTGATATTGAGCACTTCTGCGGTGGTCATGTCTCCCTCTGCCTCTTGTTGACGCTTTGTGTACGACTGCTGCTATTCGTGCGCGTCTTGTTGTTTTCAAACATTTTAAGGTGACGTCACCACTGTTCTGCGGTGAATGTACACCGCCGTCCTGCCAGTTCCAGGCCAGCAAGCTTGACCACAGCGTGACCTTGTTCTGTGTCGCGTCCTTTCCTCAAGTCATTCCCGTTCTTTCTAGCTCTTTCTTTCTGCCTCTCTTTCTATCGCCGTTGTGACGTCGTTTCCTGCCTGACGCATGCCTGCGAATGTTACTCCTTGCAGTGTGTTCTTTCGGATCAGCCGCACGGCGGAAGCTGGGGCACCGATACCCTGCTACAAGTCGGAAGTGGCAAAGGTTAGAACCTCCGTTGCTTGTTGATGGCGTTGTTGTTCCCGCTGTTTCTGTTGCTGTGATACCTCGAGGAAAGTATTTCTGACTCCTTCCTTGCGAAGCACTTTTGGTGTTTGTGGAGATATACGCTAGTGTTGTGTCTCGCCTGCGAAGCTAGAGTGGGTGAGCGTTTCTGCCGCGGCACGCACGTATCAATTTCTCGTTACGCAAGGACGCTCCGCTTTTCTTCGCGCACCGCTACCGGTTGAGCACCTGGACATAGCCCATTCATGAAAGCACACGAAAATGGTATACCCCAAGACGGTTATATCCCCCAAACCGGGTATTCCCTAAAAAGGTACGATACCCCAAGAAAGATTATAGGGAGAGGTCGGTCGACTAGCTGGTGACTTTCCCCTTTCCACCTACCGGTTCTTCCGATCCTCGCCTACTCGCTAGTCGCGCACTGCAGCATGTGAACAAGCATACCTCTACAACAGCTTGAGCGGGTATAGAACGTACCGCGTTGTTTCAGAGTAAGAACCGTACCATCCTAACGAGAGGAAACCATAGTCCCTTTGCCTTTGCCGTCCCCATGGGTGTTTGGAATATGGTCAGGTCTCCGGCGGCTCGGTGCTATGGTCGCAGAGCAAGGTGGGTCTCCCCGTTCTCGCAAACGGGGACCCCCATCGACCCCTCGTGGTCGAATTCTTCGGTTACAGAAAGTGAGTCGAGTTTCCCTCCCTTTGCCTTGGTTGTCTTCGAACGTGTACTGCTACGTCGATTGGGTTCTTTGGGATGGATACCACAGGCGCGAGTTTGATGTTAAGGGTTCGTCCGTGAACGGCCTGCTACTGCTGTCGACGGCGCGGCGGCAACTCCTGGAGTATCCGCAATTTTGTTCTTGATTTCCTTCGCAGGCATGCACTCCCCCCCCCCCCCAATCGCACATCCACACCCCTTCCTTCATCCTCTGTGTCAAATGGGATGATTGGCCAATGACCTCCATGCTAAATTTTGTGGCGACCTCAAAACACCAATCTAAATATGCTGGATCCACTCGTCATCCGACGGTCCGCAGCTTTCGTCGCCACGAAGCGTCGGTCTATGGACAGAAGCCATTGCAGCATGAGAGGTTTTGAAAGCACCTCCCTACCAAAGCCCGCCTGCAGAGTCCCACCTTTCATGGCATCCGCCCTGCTTCTACGGTACCTCTTGATTCTGCTGTATCCCCTTAGGTCCGGCTCGCACGTTTCCCTGGGTTCGTGCGAGCTAAGCGTGGACACGATGGTGTCTAGGGCAGGCGAGCCAGGCGGCGTCCTCAATATTTCCTCGGGAACCGGGCAGCTCGTCATCGAGAGCTGCAAGCTCGTTCCCCAGCCCAGGTATTGCAGTAGCTCATGGTCTGCGTGTCGAGCTATCATGTTAGTCTAGCGTTTTCTGAGAAGACACGGTGATATTGTAATGGAAACTTGGTGTGGTTTCGATATTTTTTGTTTGTTGACGTCAACAACCGTCCCGGTCTCTGCACGGTACCCTTTTAACACACGTACCAGTCAAACTAAACGCGAACGCCTTTCGTGGCCACAGGCCAACCATCCAGAAAAAGGTGCGCACTACGAAAATCAAAGTACGACGAGATGTACAATCTAAATCTCTAGTTAGGGCATATTGGATTTTTCTCTCCATAGAATTTCTTATCGCTTTATGTAACTGGGTGTTGTTCTTTGTCTTGATGTTGTGGTCTCTACGGCTCCAGTGTACGATGGCAACTTGTGACACGAGCCACCTTCAGACAACAGAGCGCGTCAAAATGAAATGGTTGATGAGCTTCTAGCAGCAGACGATAAGAAACATAGAGGAACTTTTTTGCTCGTGTTGCTGTTGTGGGCAAAACTGTTGCCATCGTTTTTTCATGGTCGATGGGGGCATGCGGCAATATCGTTGCATTTCACACCCCGCACCTTAACATCCTTCGAAAACACGCTAAGACGTCTATTTTGCACTCCCGTTCTTACTCGTTTTCATTTTATCTCTCTCTCTCTCTCTCCCTTTCTCTCCCTCCCCCTCTCCCTATCCCTTCCCTCCTCTGCCGTTCCTTTTCTGCCGTCCCATGTTGGGACTCCTTGGCGTCCTGTTGCACTTGGCGGGACTGTCAGCTTCTTCGATTTCCTCGCGGGTGGCTTGGAAATGCAATTCACGGTCGGGATCGACTACACTGCCTCCAACGGGGACCCCAACGTGGCCGACTCTCTCCACTACCACGACTCCACCGGCAGGACACTCAACCAGGTGGGCCTGATCTTGGTCGCCAGAGTTCTTATCCGCGGAAGCGCAAGTCATCGCACGCACCCTAGACTGACTTGCAAAGCTCGATTGGTCCTCGATCAAGATGGTACAGCAGGAGAGCCGACCGGCATGTGTGTGTGAGGAGATCGCTGGACGGGATGTCTCCCATGCTACCGCTGTCGGGCTTTGGCACCCTCTTGGGCGTGGTGCAAATCGAGCTAATATGGATGAGGGTCGGTCCAGTTGGGGGTGTGCGATGACTCGCACTTGGTGCTGTGTTGGTGATTGCGCATCATTGTGGAAGTGGGAATTACCGTGTTATGTGGTGTTGTTGTGTTGTTTGCCAATGTGGGACGGTCTTGTGTGGTGTAGGATAGCACTCGCGTTGTGTGATGATGAACTCGTGTGATGTCGTTTCATAGCCGAGCGGTATTGCGTGACTGTGCAAACGTGTATATAAAGTATACGGTGTGACCATTGGCTGCCGTCCGCAACGGTCGAGTGTCCACAAGAAAACAGCGCCTCAACTAGCCTGGACCTACAGCACCGCGATAGTTTTCAGATAGACTACATGCCATCGTGGTAAGCGCTGATGCCTGCTGAAGTGCTGCTGAAGTGTGACCTTGGTCATTGCCGCAAGTGCGTAGCCAAGTTTGGCGCAGCTCATGGAACTGTGTGCTCGCAAGACGCCGTCGACGCAGCTCAATATTATGAACACCATGCCTCCCTTCCTTGTCGAACCCCCCTCTTCACATGTCCCACAGTACGCCCAGTCTATCTCCAGCGTGGGCAAGATCCTTGAGCACTACGATTCGGACAAGCGTTTTCCGGTGCTGGGGTTCGGCGGATGCCCTATCCCTGGGGCCCCGGCGATTCATTGCTTCGCGGTGAACGGGAGGGAGGATGACCCAGAGGTCCACGGCGTCGAGTCCATCCTAGACGTCTACAGGTATATTGTATGTTGATGCTGGTAATTAATTTTTTTATGTCACTTGGGTTGTTCTTAGGCTGCGGTCAGTTCGGTGCACTCCATGCAAAGGCATCGTATCACGTGTGGGTCACACTTACTTAAGAAAATTATTACAAGAAGGGTTTCGAGCGTCTACCGCCGGGTCACGAGATCGACCGTCGCCCTTTAAGGCTGGCGGCGTGTGTTCCGCGCTTTCTTGGAATACGTCGCATGGCAGGGGCTGAACTTGCGCCAGCTGTCATGTTGATATCGCTGTGTGTGAATCACCCTCGGGGAGATGTGTGTGTGTATGTGCGTGTGTGTGATTTTTCTCCTGATTTGGTGTGGGTGTTTGGAGTTGGGATCGACGCTCTTTCAACCAAGTGAGAGATGCACCTAGTTGCCAGATCCATCAGCGTTGTCCCAGCGGGGGCTGCCTGCCTGTTGGCTGTCGTTACGGCGTGCAAGCCCGACACCCGCGGTACGCAACCTTTTGTAGTCCTTTAGTCTGCTGCAGTCTACACTCCATCGCGCCCGATTCATCCGCCTTGGAAGCGCTTCTGCTCCGCTTGATCACACCTCAATCTTGACCTACAACCCGGAGCAGGAAGACAGCATTGTATCATGTAGGGTCCGAGCGCTCGAGGCGTCTGTGATACAGCAGCAGCAGCAAGAATGCTCCGTCTGAGAAGGAGTGCGTGTTCAACAGTCAAGTTGTTCTGGCCATCAAGACAAGAGCCCCCCCACCCCACCCCACCAAGAAGAAATTCGGATTTTGACCTACGGGTTTTGTTTGGTTCCGTGCTTGATCGCTTGTCCTCTCGTGTGTGTTTTTTTTCTTTTGTCGAGCAGGGAAAGCTTGAAATGGGTGCAGCTCTCTGGGCCGACACTATTCGCTCCGCTCATCAACCAAGTGAGTCTAGTGTATTGTAGTGTGTGGTGTAGTGCAGTCAGTGTAGTATAGAGACGATGTCAGTAGCATCGAGCGCGCTTGCTGGCTGACCATCGAAATCAGCACAGTCTTTGCAAAGCGAACAACACGTTGTCCACCTTGTCGATTGCATACTGGCAACAGCGAGACCACGGCGATCAGACGAAGAAGACACAGCGGACGATTTGAACACCTCTCAATATATCTCTTGTTCTGCCTCCCTCCCACCCTCTCTCTCTGTCTCTCTCTGTCTCTCTCGGTGTCTATCTCTCTCTCTCTCTCTCTGTCTCTGCCTCTCCCTCTCTCTGCCTCTCCCTTTCTCTCGAGCAAATCAACGTACTTATCACGCAACGCTGAACACGCGCAACGTCTTGCTTTGTCGCGAAGCAGGTGGCGTCAGTGGCAGCCTCGGAGCGCACTCTTGACCCGGAAAATCAGAAGTACCACGTGCTCATGATCGTCACTGACGGCGTGATCAATGACATGGGCAACACCATGGACGCCCTCGTCGCCGCCGCTGATTTGCCCTTCAGCGTCATCATGTAAGTCAATAAGAGTCTACAACCTGTGGTGGAAGTTTTGTATACGACGAGTTGTGCGTGTGTGTTGGTGTGCTGACGGATGGTGTCAACAGCCGTAGCGCGGGTGTTTTAACACGCCCCACGCCGTTCATCTCTTGGTGTTGTGATGCACTGCTGTAGTGATGCGGTAGGCATGCTATATTGATGCACTAAATAGTGTTTACCGTGCAAAAACAAAATCTTACTGCCGTCTGCAGTATCTTTTGCTGCGACGTTTGTGCAGCAGCATTATTCGGTAAATATCGCTCGGAGCGATTCCTTCTGCGGGTGGGTGTTGTTCTACCCTCGAGCGTCGTCATCGTCATCGTCATAGTCATAGTCTTGCCCACCAGAGCATGGCCAGTGTCATCTCGACGATACCGCTGTTGGTAATAAATAGCGTAGGTTGGCCTGTGAGCCTGGGATTGAAAAAAACATATATATATATACAACGGCGATTGAACCGTGCTGCCGCGCGAGCGATCAGGCATTCGTAGCGAATTTATCGATGCTACAGAGTCTGCGTAGGCAGAGCCGACTTTACTTTGATGCAGCAGCTTGAAAAATGGCGATTGCCGTTTGCTGCCGCGCGAGTGATAACCTGCTCCACAGCCGTTCTCAACGAATTGATTGCTGACTTGGCTGCTTTTGAACACCATGCCCGTATTTGTCGATGCTACAGAGTCGGCGTAGGCAGGGCCGACTTTTCTCTGATGGAGCAGCTTGACGGCGACGATATTCGTATCGCGAACGCCCAGGGCAGGAAGGCATCGAGAGACATCGTGCAGTTTGTGCCCATGAGAGAATTCAGCAACTTGGGGTTCCATGCCCTGGCGCGCGAGGTGAGGGAGCGCTGCTAAGGTGCAGTGCTGTTTGACGTTTTTTGTTGTGTGCTTTAGTTGGTCGGCAACGTTGTCTTGCAGAGTAACTCACGGAGTAGCACGGTTTTTCACGGTTTGAAGAATGTAGCGTCGGGAAAAAAATGAAATGTGAGGGAAAAGGACCGAGGAATCGGACCGATCAACTATCACCCTCTGGGCCACTCTGTTTAGATACTGAGCTAATTTTTGCTATTTTTGCCACGAAACTCCTTTCCTGACCGACGGAGACGGTATTTTTTCGAACGCGAAAACGCCGGTTCGATTCCTCTTGCCGTCCTTTTTTTCCCCCATTTTTTTTGTACGGACGCTACATGCTTTACACGAGAAACCAAGGTTTACTCAGTGAACAACCCTGTTGTCTTGGAAGGGTAACAGAAGTTCACCAGTAAATATTTTATTTTTTTTCTATTGATGTGTGTTGATATCATGTTCTTGGTTGTTGCGCAGGTTGATCAAGGCGAGGAGTCCGTTGTCTGTGTGGCATGATGTATTCATTTACGAAGTTGCGCTTGTGCTTGTTTGCGGAGTGTCTCGTGGAGCAATAAGTGGTGAGTCGATCGCCTGTATGGTGCACGACAATTAAGGCCAGTGACGGTCGATGATGACCTTCGTCCCTCAACAACTACCATGCTGCACGTCCTTTTTCGAATATACCCGCGCACGCTGCCGTTCTGAAGCAACCGTCGACGGCGTACGTATGTATTCCGTGATGCAATTGTTGACGTAACACAGGTGGTCTGGACGGAATATTTACCTCCTCGCTCTCTCTTTGCATGTACGCCCGTGCTCCGACGACGAAAAAGGTACTCGCCGAGATACCGCAGCAGGTGGTGGAATACATGGCCAACAACAGAATCAACGCTTGCCAGCCTAGGGCGAGGCCTCCCGTGCCTCCTCCCCGCCAAGCAGGCTACGCGGGCGGGGGCGGGGGGAGCTTTTCGCACGCGGCTCGGCACGGCCAGTAGAAATTCTACGAAAAAGTCTAGCGGCAGCAGTAGTCGAGCGATATGCCCACCCCCCTCACCCCCATATCGCCGTTACCACTGTTGGCGTTATCGGGGAGTTCCGCTTGGATTATTCCACCGCTAGCTCTTCGTTGCCGGCGAGTATGCCTCATGCATAGCTCCGCTATTTAGTGTTACTGCTGTTGTTTGCGCCACAGCGAGCGGTGGAGGCGGCGACGGCTTCCTGTCGCGTTCTTCGTAACGGTCTCCCTGGGCGTTAAAAGTTGAGTTTGGCGTTTTGGCGGCGGTGGCGAGGAGGGGGGGGGGGGGGTGGCGTGCGCCGGACCACTGGCTGCGATCGGCACACGGGTGGCCAGAGGCAGGTTGTGCGTAGGTTGGGGCACCAACTACAACCTCGGGGGGAAGGTTGTAGGGAGGCTGCAGCCCAAAAGCGTGCAAGGTATCCCGCATCTTGGATAGTGGTGTTACTGCAATCAACACGGCGGGCTGCAAGCCTGAAGAAAAAAAGCGTTCAAAGTCGAACTCTGCCTCCCAACCTCCCCCCCCCAGGTTGTAGTTCGTGCCCAACCTGACCCTCTGGCCACCAGTGCATTCGTTCATTGGCGTTTGCCCTGACTGACTTGGTCTTAATTTTGACAACAACGTGACTGCGCTGCTGGGGGTATGTGTACGTACGTGTGCATCGGGCTGAGGAAGGTGTACGGTGGGGCAATCGTGTGTGTGGGTGTACGGTACACGAATGATGGCGCTCTTTTGTGTGGTGCGTTTCTATCGAGTGGGCGTCGGTCGTGCGCAACAACGAAAGTATCGTCGTACTGTACCGTAGCGTGACACGCATGTACATATGTATCTCCGTGCCATGTGTTTGTTTTTTTGTGGTGGTGGTTACAGAGGAAGAGAGCAAGGGTTGTAAGGCGGAGAACAAAGCACGCCGTCGATAGAAAGAGAAAGTCTATCTTTTCGGCGAGTAAGCCGGAGGACAAGAGTTTGTTGACTCACGATGCGTTCGCGGCATGCGGTCTAGACAGTTACATACATACGTGCAGATATTGTAGCGTCCCCACTTGCGAACCTACCTCTAGTTTTGGCCAGGGGGTTCTTCTCAGTTCGCCCTCGTCTGGACCACAAACAGCCGCTAGATAGGTTTCCAGTCGGTTCTTAACCGGGCTCACAATATTCAAGTATGTGGTGATCAAGTTGCTGAGCATGGAAGTTCGTGACTGATGCCATGTTCTTAAGCGCGGGCGATAATCTACCTACCTGTAGTTTGCCGACTGAGTGCTCCGTATTGCTTTTGTAACGATATCGACCAATTATTCCGGCTTGTTTGTTTTTCTGTAGGCGTGCGTTGTGGCTGGTGTTCGTTGTGGGTGTCGTGGCACGTACGTAACAGGTCTCGTGTGTGTATCCTGTTTGTACAAAAGAGTAAATGTAAGGACTAGAAACGCTTGTTTTCGTTGATGGGTTGGTCGGGGCATTTTGCTCCCCTGTGTTTCGTGTTGCCGTTTGTGTAACACGAGGGTAGCAGGTGGCGGTGGCAAATAGTCGACTACTTCCATGCTTGTCTTGGCGCGTTCGTTCACGATTTTTTTTTTCAGTGTTGCTCGGCGGGGAAATGGTACCTTGACACCTCGGGTGCTGTAGGAAGGGGGGGGTGTCCACCTCCAAAAAGGACAAACCAAGGCTTGCAGGCACGTTTGCGACCTTCTCCGGAATGTTTGTGTTTCTCGCCGCGGGTGGGGGGTTGTGTAGCAGCTGTATGGAGGTGACCGGCTCAACGGAGGTGTTCTTCAGAAACGAACCGACGTCATTTCGGCTCTATCTTGCAGGTGTGTGATCCTACCAGATTGGCTTGGGGTCGGTTCTCGACTTTCGAACCCGCAGTCACCGCCCATATGTTGTGGCCCATGGTTTTTGGGCGCGCTCGCCCGACCCTTGCCTTGACAGGGGTGGCTAGGGGTTTGCCTTTTCGGACTCGCCCGACACGCCGCACGGGAAATGCGCCACAAAAATGTGCAGATGAATAATTTTCGAGTACAAAATTGAAAAAAAATCGATTTGCGCAACCAACTGCCAACGGCGAAACAGTCGTCGTCCAGACGACTTCCCCTTCAGTTCGCAACAATTTTTTTATGAAGACCACACTACAAATACTTGTGTGCAATGCGCGACCGAGAACGATCGCCACGAACAAATTGTAAAAACGAAAAAAAGAAACCACACGACACGAGAAACAAAAGAACAGGACACATCAGCCACGGCCTCGCTATTGTTAACACTCCAGTGTAGGCAAAATTTACAACACCAACCTGCACTCTCCACAGGAACCTCACTGTAGATTTTTCAACTCTGCAAGTTGGACACGATTTCAATCACCAATGGATGTCGCGATCACCGGAGGCCTGCACACAAATGATAAGTCCCTTTTCAACATTATGAAACTAAAGCACAGTCAGAGATCTAAATTAACGGTAGAATATAACGCCTTTTAGCCGAGGATGTCGGCCGGGTTAATCAGCTCCTGGACCAGCATGCCGGCGATGCCGATCATGGCCAGGCGGCCGTTGTTGAGCTCCTTGGTCTTCATCACGTCCAGAGCCGCCTCGTCCTCGGGCTTGAGGTTGAGGGGGTCAAAGCCGAGGTCTCCCGGGACGTAGTCCTCCTTCAGGCCGCCCTCGCCGGTCACAGCGCTGGGGGTCTCGAAGGCGGTCATGATGGTGTTGTACTCGATGAAGGCCATGCCCAGGAGGGAGAACACCCAGAACTGTGGCGAAGCGAGCGTCAGGGGTGCATCGGCGATGTGAGGATACAGATGATATGATGACTAGTTCGGCAGTCCGCATACATCAACATGTTAAATAGAAGAAGATCAGTAAGGTTCGTTTGTACCTCGAGCGAGGAGGAAATAAATACATTGGTATGAATGATGAGGAACATCAGGTTCGAGGAACACATTCGTTCCCATTTGTGACAGGAAAGGGGCTATACCCGAAACGACCAAGATGCTGCTTCCTTCCATACCACCATGTAGCGTACAGGATAGTTCTGCAGGATAGGGTCACAATACATCGTACACCCACGAGACTCGACCAAACCAGAGCTAATAGTGTTCGTACGCTTTGTCCGAGCACCATCTCATCTCATGATCCATCATCATCATCGTAGAAAACCTTTTGACCGCAACAATCAATATCTGTTCGCTATTTTCAACACAACGTATGAAGAAACGACAAACCAGGCAGGGCTGTCCGCGGTGATTACTATTTTTTTTGGTTTGGCGAAGACGTTCGGGTGGGCCTCTTTTCTTTCTCACCAAAGTATGCATGCATATACCGTAGATAGATAGATGTGATGACAAGAAAAAAACTGCGTGTAACCACAAAAGTAGGGAGGTTATTGCGCATCTCAATAGCGCGCATGTTTTCGCTCCGGTGGTCCTCGTGCAGTAGGAGGAACACATCGCGACCACGCTCTATAGGCTATTGATAACGCTCATGACATACATAGTAATAGTAGTCGGGCTTTTCACGATGCCTTCAAGCGGGGTCGCGCGCGTATGTACATTCTATCTACAAGTAGATGTAATATTTTTTGCAAAATTTATGATTAAATGTCTCAAAACTATGGAGGACTCGTCATTTCTACCGGCCGAGTAGGATATGTGCAATGCGCTAACAGCAGTGTGTTGGCGGCGACTGAGTGAGTTAGCCCTACAGTTTCCCTTTCCTTTTCCAAAAACAAAAACCTGAGCCTCGACTTTCGATGCTTCTTTCTACCAAGTATCTTGTACCAACCATGGCAAGACTAAATGAAGACGAGTCTCTCTCTTGCAGCAGTAGTTACTATGAGCGGGCCGGCACCACTGCCGCTGCTTCTGTGCACTCTCTACCGGCAGTAGACCTGCCACATCATCCCTCCCTACTACCTGTCAACCAGACGCGCTTCACTTGGGCTACACTTGAGTCATTTAGGTCTTCCAATCTACTGACACGTCGACGCGACGCCCACACACGCAAACCGACGTCATCATCTGACCTCTGTGACGCACTCGCGTATGCACCCGTTTGACCTGTACACCACCGCACACAAAAAAACTGCTCGCTCGCTCAGATTCTCACGACGCTGGCGGAAGAACGTCTTCTATTCGTCCATGTAGCGCTCATCGACGTGAGAGTAGAGCAATGGCAACTCCAGCGGAAGATTGCACCCCCAGATAGATTTCACAGAAAAGGTTAACGGAAAATGACTCAGAACGAAAAAAAAAAGTTTCGTTTCGCCAGCAGTGGGTGGGTGAAGATCGTTCCATCGCGGAGAGTTCTGTGTTTGAGCGCACTCACCTCGGGGTACTGCGCGCTGATCTCCTGGAAGTGGTCCACGGCGGGGCCGATGTAGTCGGGGCCCATGAAGAGAGGGTGGTATTGCTGGAGTGTGCAAGGGCAAAAAGCAAAGGGAGCGAGACGGGAGACAGAGATGGTTAGCCCGAGGGACCGAAAAACATGAGCAATATGAAAATCGAGGCTGCTTCGAGAAGAAAAGGAGCAACACCCCACATGCGGAGCACGCTGCTTGACGAGCTGCTACTGCACACGTGTGCGGAGCAGAGCCTCACCTCCGCGACGAGGACACCGAGGGACGCGAGCATGGCCACACGTCCGTGCTTGATCTCGGCCTCGCGCCACTTCTTGATGTCGGCGGGGTCAGCCCCGTCCGAGAGGTTGAGGGGGTCGAAGATCTGGCGTGGCGGGCGGTTCGATGAACGGTAGGCCGTCGTGGAACAAACGGGGGGGCACGAGTTAGATTCGAGGCAGTAGCGTAGAAGGGCGCACCAAGAGTCTGTGTGGCAGCACGCCATATGCTGCACCACCACGTGGCGAGGTAAGACCGCAAGTGCGTACGCATGTCCCGATACGGCAGGCGGATCTCGAATTGATCGCTGCTTACGTGTGCGACGTGTGTTGGTTTTGCTCTGTCAGAGAACATCCATGCGAGCGGACACTCTTTTCTCGCCTGCGGTCGACGCAACACAGCTCTACATCGCTGGTCTCATAGCGATGGCACCACGTGGCCACGCAACAGCAGCTACGGTGGTAGCATTGCGTTGCTGCTCAATGCACTCACCTTTCCATCGCCGAAGGGAGCTCCGGGCAGGGTTGCGACGTAGTCGGATCCAGCGCTCATCTTGAGGGCCGAAGAAGAGGAAGCGGGTGCGGCGGATCGCACGGCCATCGGTGCGACGAAGGCAGTCGAAGAGGCGATGAGGGTGGCGGCAGAGCCGAGGAACAGCTGGGTGGCGACCATCTTTGCTAGTGTGTGAGAAGTGTTGGAAAAAATTGAGTGCGCTGGGGATGATGGATGAATTGTGAGTGCTGGGCAGTGGGGTGGGTCACCACCGGTCTGTCTGGCGGTGGCTTGGGGCGCCGTGGTTTGGGAAATTTTAGATTTTGGTAGGAACCCCCCCTTAGAAAAACAATTAGCGTTTGCGGGGGACTGGGGGGGGGTAGGGCGCGGGCGAGCGCCACATGCAGATACCTGTACACGATTGCTGTCCTTCAGCAGTAAGAACGCGTGCGTAACTCAGAAACAACGCACTGGCACCAGAGGAGTGGAGATGATGAAGTGGGAGACCGGTCACAAACCGGTTTGTCTAAATTAATTGACATGCTGTGAGGGATATATATGGGCATGAGAACATAATCTATTAGATGAAGCCGGGACACCTTCCTTCCGTGATCGGTCGCAGACTACCTACCCAGGGTACAAGCTGGTGTGTGGTGTGGCTGGATGGTGGGTGGGTGAGTTCAAAATCATGGGCAATGACTCACACAAGTATTTTTTTGTAGTTCTGCACAGTGGAGCAACTGCTGCTGCTGCTGCTGCTGCTGCTGCTGTGGGATACATTATTGTAGGAGTTGCACAAACAAGCGCTCCATGTAGACTACTGCTTTAAACCCGATTCGCAGGGTATCCGTTGATCGACTTTTACCAGAATTGGTAGACCTTCACACATGGCGTCGTCCCTCGCAAGAGAGCAAGGCGGAAGCAACACCGATCTGATCCACACGCAACGGCTGCATGTTGTTTGTGGCACTTTGTGGTACTTTCTTGCGAACGGCATCCAATCTGGGAAATAAGTATGTATCTGCTGTATGTGGGGGGGGGGAGGTAGACTATGTGCTGCTGGGGGTCCAATTGCGGGGGGCCTCGGAGAGAGCGCACACATGTGTGTTAAGTTTAATACCGGTATGTTTAAGTCTCTTTGTGTAGTGTGCTTCGTCTTCTTGTTGCTGTTAATTTGATTCTAATTCTTGAGGTGGTGATGGGTGGTAATCAACAGCAGCAAAGGGTTTCTGTCATAATCATTCGGTCCTGGGCTAACATAGGCCCCATATTTGACCTCTAGCCTCTGCGACAATGCACGGAGGTGCACTAAAACGATATATATTCGGGAAGGCGCAGAGGCTTGAGGTCACATATGGGGACAAAAGTTAGCCCCCAGGACCGAACGATGACGGTGGCAGAATCCTTTTTCGCTCGATCAACAAGCAACAAGGAGACTAGGATAACCCATGGGAGGCAAGAACATTATATTTATATGGGGTTTGTTTAATTAATTAATTGTTTTTGGTTTGGGGAATGTTTTTGGTTTGGGGGAGACGATATATGGGGGTGATTGATTTAATTAATTGTTTTTAGGTTTGGGGAGTACATATGTACATGCACACTATACAAGAAAGAGGGATTCTGCCACCATCATCGTTCGGTCCTTGGATGAACAAAATCCCCATACTTGACCTCTAGCCTCTGCGGGAAGGCGCAGAGGTGAGTGAATACACGTGTTCCAAAAACTGCACAGAGAAAAGACACGCGACCAGTAAGCAATTGGCTACATAGAAGTATACGCCCCTGGAGCATGTTAGCTTCGAGATACAACAATGTACCATAAATCAGCACACCCAGAACCTTCTTTCGAAACGAGCATAATGAAATGCTAAAGCCAGAGCTAAACAACCAGGGGTATTAATCATCGTTCATGCCGTTGATGCTGTATTGCGTCAGGCAGAGCCGGGCATACCCATCTTCTGTTCTTCCGCTCTGATGAGCACAAAACAAAAAAATTGTTGCTGGGATCCATGCACATCAGCAATGCCTCGGGCCGGTGCGCGACGGCACACCCATTCATGAAGATGGGCATCAAGATCACAAGTTAAACGTTCCCATGTCCCCTTCAACAAGCCGCTGGCAAGAAAGAAAGGAGACAACTGCGCACCAGCAAGTAGCAGCCGTTTGTCCATCAATGCGGTACATTTGTCTGAGGCCGGGCGTGGCTTGCGCACCACCAATCTTAACACAGCACCACTTGTACCAGACGAGCTCGCCAATTTCGTGGTCTCCAAGATTCAGTGTAAACATACATATATACAAAATTCGAAGTACACACATCGATACATATACCCGCTCACACAAACAAAGATACGAACGCGAGAAAACAACCACGATATCTTGCTCACATGAAAAGACTAGAATCACTCAAGGAACAAGTCACAGTGCTATTCTTCCGAGCGTCATTTTGCGCGGCAAGCAGCAGCCTGAGAGGGCAGCCCGCCGTCCAACAGTCGCATGGCCTGCTGGAACTCCGAGCTGTCGTAGACGAGCGCCCCCGTGCCCTCCTCCTGCCCGTCAAAGTCGATGTCAAGACACTCTGGAAGGGTCTCGGAACCGTCGCCGGCTATCGACCCCTCCAGCGGCATGCTTCGCTTCCTTGCAGCCCTCGGCGGCCGAAGAGACTCGTGTGGACATTCGTCAGTGGCCACCCCGGTGACATCGTTGATCCAAAACCACACGCCGGCCTCCTTGACCCTTCGCCAGTTGGCCGGGTCGCCTTTGGGAGAAAGCTCCGCCTTGCGCATACCCTCTCGCTTGTTTTCGGATTTGCGCTTGTTGGCTCTTGCCGCGGCCTCTCTGTTTTCGACGCGCGAGCGGGAGTTCGTTTGAAAACGGTGCTTTGGTTTGGTGTGGTCGGTGTGTGCTGCGAAGGGCGTTCTAAAGGTGCGTGCGTGAGTGTAAGGCAGTGCGTGGCAGGGCTCAAGTTCATATAGGTGGATGTGCTTGCCGCAACATTGATCGCCGCTCGTTTGGCAAGTCTTCATCGCGCAACAACACTCCGGACGAAAACACACACACACCAAGATCGACCATGTAATAGGCTTTGGCCGACAATGGCAAGAGATGTTTTGATTGGTTGGCGACGTACTTGCCAATGGGCAGAGCGCACGCTACCGTGCCGACCATTTCCTGTACTCGATGTTATTCATCGTCAACACGCGTCTCTTGGTGCTAACTCGGCCAGAATTTGCGCGTTTCTCCAGATTGGTCTCTGCATGCCAGACAATCGCACAACGAGAACTGCGGAAAGCACTCATTTATCACGAGGATGCCCGCATATGTAAGCAGGAGGTCGTGCCATCGAACCATTTGCTCCGCACCAATGCTACTGTTGTGTTGTCTTTGTTTCCACGACAAAATTACAGCAGGGAGAAAAAGAGACCCCTGAGAGTCGACAGCGGTACTACCAAACCAAGGCGTTCAAGAGCACGCCATGACTTCCTCGCTCTACGTTGGCACCCGTTCTTTGCTTCCAAAGGTACGTATGGTGCGACCTTGTCCTTGGTTTGGCTTATCTCTCTTTGAGATAACGCTAGCATCGGGCGTGCGTTCCCTGCACACATGCCTTGTAATGCCTTGTCTCACGATTACAAATAGCGCAATCTGCGTACCGCCATGGAGAATGGCTCTACCAGGAAGGGCAAACTCACCAACAACTCGCCACCGTTACTGTGTGCAGTCCCTGTTGTACATTACTGTCACTCACATCACACGTTCAAATGATGTCAGAGGTGGAAATTTCTACCGGCGTCGACCAGGACCAACATTTTCCAGACTGTGGTTCCACTCCGACAAAGACACACCTACCGGGGAATCGTTGACGACTTCCTCGAGAATTCAAGTGTCGCGAGATTTTAGAGTAGGCTGGATGCTGCACGCTTGTACACAGAAAGTACCGATGAGAAGAAAGCACACAAAGAGGAGGGCCAGCACTCTTCCTGTCCAGATTCAGTGAAACTTGGGTTCAGATGAGGCATTCATAAATACATCGTCGACAGAACAACCATACTCACGTTCTCCTGTTGACCAATGGCTTTTTCTCCCCTGCCTGTGTACCTCGAACGCCTCTGAGGGGGTCAGCCTCGGTGCTCTTGTTTGCCCTGTGCTGGAGTATTTTCGGACACAGCAGTTGTTGCGAAATTCAGTTGTTGAGGAAGCAGCTGTTGCAGCAACGCAAAGCACTGGCGGGGAACGGCAGCACAGCTTGAGTTGCAAAGTAATAAGCGCCCAGGGAGGGGGCTACTGCTAAGGTTTCCCGCGCTCCACGGGTTGAGGGATGGTTGGAACCAGATGGGTGCATGTGGTGCGTGTGTGATGGAAGTGTTCGGTAGACTAATGGAAACGTAGACCATAGGGCAACAATGTATTGTTGGAAACTCAAGTATTTGGTTGTTCTATATCTACGCACGCTGTAGGCCGACGTGACTGAGACTGTCGGGGCTAGAGCTATTTTTGCTTGCCTGCTCTATTGGTCGCCTTAATAAAGACGTATGGGGATCGAGAGGTGTAGTACTGCACTCACTCCTCGTTGATTTCTGTAATGTTTCGCGTTGAGCCTAACACCGACGGGTCGGGTCGCGTCTCAAACGCTGGCCAGGGATGTCTGTCGAGCATAAGTGAGTCCCTTTCGAAGAGACCGAGCCTGTCTACCACCACTCGATCCGCTCCCGCTAGCAATGATCATGTGGCGTCAGACTCACACAGCACCTCCACCACCGTGATCTTTAGCGCGCCCTCTGAGTGAACGTTCATCAAAACAGAGAAAAAGCTCTGAAGCCAATCGGCAAATACATGTAGATCGGCGCAAGTTCGAACTCCTACACGGAGACGGAACAGCAAAGGCAGGTGGCTGCTTTACATTTTCTAAAGCGTGGCATGATTCATTCTAATTTGTGCTTCTACCTAATTCAGGCTAAATTATGACCAAGGAAATTAAAAAAGTCGGCCTTCGGAGGTTAGGTACAGGAGGGGTTGAACACAGGTCAGGTTGGTCGTAATGTTAAGAAAACAACGTATGTAGTCTTGTTGTACATGTACCTCTACACACATTACGCCAGGTTTCTGTTGCAGTTTTGAAACAGAGAGTAAACCTATTCGTCGAGGGAAGGTGCCAACAGAGCAGAAAGGTGACATGTTTACCACACCGACCCCATACTTGTAGTATACCGCTGGCTCTTGTCGCAAAGTGCGGGTCTCGAAAATGAATGAAGGCCTTCAACTCACAACACACAATTACGCCGGCGCTTTGCTGTGTCGCGTCATATAGTGCATCATTCTCACCGCACGCAAGGCAGAGTCAGCTCTGGCTTGGCGCCTGGACATGAACAAAACTGGTGGTTTCAGAGTCCTTCCCATTGGCTCTGGCGTAGTCCCGCCAAAGAGGGCACCCTCGTCATCCTCAGTCAGGTACACCCGTCTCGCGGCGTATCTCTGAGCGGCGGACTCGGTCGCGCCATCAGCTGAAACGTGAGTGGGATCTGATCCCATGATGGCCGAAGATGGCAAATATGTAGCCAGCCAGTTCACCGAGCTCGCACGTGGTACTTACAGGGTCCGGTTGTGTCAGCTCCGCGCTTCACGCCCGACGAAGTCGTCCTTTGATGCCTTGATGCCAAAGATGCCAAACAGGCAGCACAGCAGTGCAGGTGTGATTTTTCGTCGGGGTTCGCGCGCGCCGAAGCGCTCCCGAAGAGTAACATGCGGCGAGATCGACGAATCAAGAACCTTTTTCAAGAAAAGGGCAGAGAGCAGAGAGAGCAACGGGCATCCGGCTGTTACCCACGTGGGGGAGTTAATCACTGTACGATATGCTACGCGAGAATCAGTACAACCACACGTAGTTCATATAACACCATTCATCCACGGTGAGTTTACCCTGGATTTTTGGACTGCTATATGTTCGAAGGGCGGAGCACGAAAAGAGCGGGCACAATACATGCTCTGAACTCTGCCTTTTTTGCGCTGGCTCCGTTCTTGAAGATGACATTGGAAGAGCAATTATTACCAGATAGCATTTCTCCTCTGTACCATCCTCTGTCAACAATGCTCTACTCTCAAGTAACTGTTACGTTCCTCGGCACAGCTGCCACCCTCATCATGTATGCCTCTGGCTTCGTCGCGCCGATGGCTGCGTGGTCCGTCGCGCCCGCAACCTCCACCCTTTCCAGCCTCAGGATGACCGCCGGATCGGACTACGTCGCCACCCTCCCCGGTGCTCCTTTCTCGGATGGAAAGATAATAATAAATCGAGAACGCGCGCATCTAATCCTGCCGTAGTAGCTATAGTCGAACTTTTGATCGCTACACGATATGCTCTCTCTCGCTGTGTGTGTGCGAGCACCCTTGGTTGTTGAGCAAATGATCTGTACAGGCCAGCATTATACAACAATTCGACCGCACACATGTGCGGTTGTCTGCGCTTTCACAGGGTAGGTGTCACATGGGTAGGTATGTGCTGGCACCAACATGTGATGAGTGTGTCTTCGCGCTGCGTATGGATCCAAAGCGCATGTTACTGCAGCTGCTCCCCCGCCGCTCTCTCTCTCTAGACTTGTTTATCGTGTTGTCCTGACTTCTTTATCTATATCGCTGGTATCACCAGATCTTCGACCCCCTCGGCTTGGCCGATGGCGCTGAAGTTGGAGACATCAAACTCTGGCGTGAGGCAGAGATCAAGCACGGACGTGTTGCAATGCTTGCGTCCCTTGGCGTCCTTGTGGCCGAGGTGAGATGCAACCGACGTTGCTCTCTGATGACGAAAAGGCGGCCTTCTCATTTTGTTTGTTGTCAAACACCACCGTTCCGTTTTCTCTCAAATTAATCCTTCCCGCTTTTTCCTTTTGTTCTAACCAGAAGAATGACTCAGACGTTTTTCCGGAAGGCGTTTCGTATGCGTTCTGGATGCGCAACAATAGGAGACATGAGAAAAAGAGGGGCTATTTTTCGTTCATCCCCGATCAGTATCGATTGATTTAGAATAAATAGAAGAATGAGCCTGCCGAGTTGCTCCTTAGAGTGAGGGGCCTGCATGAAAAGGCGAATGCGCAAAATGCGCAACTATTTGTAGTCCACAGGTGGAGCTGCCACTTTTTTTTCATCTTTGAAAAGCAGCTCGATTTTGCTGCAGATCAAGTTGACGTGCACCACGAACTCAATTCGTCGCCCTCGTATTACGCACCTCTTGCCCCACCCCCACCCCTCCCGCCACCCCCGCGTTTGGTTCATATCCTTCATTTTGCGAATGAAGCGGACCCCCCCGCCCGCATGAGCTGCTCTTTATGTCGTGGTGTGTACATCAGAGCTGATACAGCATCATGTACGCACCGCACTTGGATTGAGCCTGCTCTCTCGCACCTGCTAGTGTATCATTTTGCTCCTCCTCGCTGGCTCTGCATTCGTTTAGGAGTACCACCCGTTCTTCATGGGTCCCGACTACATCGGACCCGCTGTGGACCACTTCCAGGAGATCAGCGCACGGTTTCCCGAGGTATGAGAAAAACAATATGGCAAAACGCGCCAAATCGTTCCCACCCAGCCAGCCTCTTTCGCCATTCAAAACACATCAGCGAGAAGGGAGACTTGGCAGTGCAACCGCTGTTCCTCAGATCGTCTGTCTTCTCCACCGCAGTCACGCTGGCGGTGCTTGAGCTCACAGACTTGCATGCACATGGTTATGGTCTGTGAGATGACACTCGAGAAGTCACAAACATGTGCATGGTATGCAAGCACGCAGGCACGAGCAAGCGATCAGGGATTTCCGCTCGTGATGACCCCCATATCGAAAGGGCACGTCAGTTCGCCACCCAGCGACGGTTGTGTAAGAACGGCACTTCGTTGCGAAGAACAAACATTTCATCTTGTTGCGTTGTTTACGCGTCGTTGCTTTATCGTAATACTTGCACCGTGATGATGCCCAAACGCTGTTGTTCCTAAGTGGTACTGACACCAGGAAGACTGAGCTATGTACAGGAATGTCGTGTAAAATAGATGGTGTAGTATTGCTTTCTTTTCGTGTCGTAAGAAGACAACATCGTGCTCCAGAGTACCTCCTTTGCTTTGTCAACGCTTTCTTCGCGATCCCATTTGAGCCATGTCTGCCATTCACTGCAGATGAGACCCTCGCCGGTGTGGGCAAGCCTCCATGCGTTGGGGGGAGATCTCCCCGCCCTCGCCCCGTAGCCCTCGCCCCGTCGCCCTCGCCCCGTGTCCTACACGCTTACTCACGCTCGCCCGCGATCGACCCCACCACAGTTCTGGGCGTTCTCCCTCCTCGCGTTGGCGCTCATCGAATATAACACCATCACCAAGGCTTACGCTGAGCCAAGCTTCGTCACTGGCGAGGGCGGCCTCAGGGATGAGTACAGCCCGGGAGACCTCGGGTTCGACCCCCTCAACCTCAAGCCTACGGACCAGACGGCCTTGGAGACGATGCAGACCAAGGAGCTTAACAACGGGCGCCTCGCCATGATCGGCATCGCCGGCACGTTGGTGCAGGAACTGGTCAACCCGACCAATATTCTCGATTTCCTTCACTGAAGCTGCGTGTAGCATTCGGCGAGCACGGGGCACATAGATAGTCGCCTCAACAGGTTCTTTATCAGAGGGCAGAGATACGTGGCGGTACTGCGTCGAGTATTTCGCGTCGTAGATGTGCACATCCAGTTGTACCGGAGCGGCTTAGGAAAAGCACAAATGCGTTCCTATAGAGTGTTCTTGAACTACACACAGTTACCAATCAATCAGTGTATGCATAGATCGACGGCAGTCAGTCGTATTTTCGCCCAAATTGATCGAGATCGGAGCAATCTGGTGCCGGGAGCACCTGCTGCATGCTGGTGTTTCGTGCTTGAGAAGGCCGGTCACCGACACAGCCAACCGTTCACGCAGAAGGCACCAATCAAGCTGAAACTCGCTGGGGGCGTCCAAAGTAGTGCAGGACCGTCGATGGTGTGATTCCTCGCGCCTCGGGCGTTCGGCTTAAAAAAAGTGCGTGGTTCGGAGCTTCGTAGTGAACGGCACCAGACAGACAAAAACAAATTACCGTTCTGTGAGATCTCTAGAGACCGTAACGGTCTCTTAGGGGAGTTGTTCGGGTTTCTGTGCGCGGGAGGATGAACAGGGACGCATGGGCCGCACACACACCACACCCAACGTGCTCCAGCAGAACAATGAGCAGCACTACATATAGAAGGGGAATACTAATGTTGTAGAGACTGAGTCTGGTACTTTGCCGCAGCCTGGTTCGGGCAATCCCGTGGATAAGAGCGCGTCAGCGTTGCAAGCCCAAAGCAGCACAGACAGCAAAGGTAGCGGCAGGCACATAAACATCACACTCGCGGTGCCTGCAGCTGTCAAAAGGAGATGGACAGGTTGGAATTACTGCCCTGTTGGGTGGTAAACCGCCGGTTACCGCCAATGTTTGGTTTTTCCGGCCGAGGCTAAACAAAAACTTCCCTCCGAAAAACGCAAGCCCGCCTACCGTCGAATATTTACCCAGTTTGGAGCTTCCTCCATGTGTTGGTTAAACCGCCTCCGCCAACCTCGAACCCTCCGAAAAACGCGAAACCGTCTATACTGCCCAAGTCATTTCCGCCGTAGGTCACGTCTGCCCCAGCCTGTGTCCGCATAAAAACGATTATCGATCAACAAACCCCTTGAAACAGTCAACGCCCGAACTGAGAACGGGTTATTGTCGGCGAAAGCGACGCTAACGACGAGATAATGGGAAGGACGTTCACCGATGAAACGGAAGAAAGAAAATGGAATTTACGCGCACAACCAGGTCGCCGATGCAGTCCAGGACCGATATGGGCAACAATGCCGAAGAGCGATGAACGGAAACCGACGATAGCAAGAAAGCCCAAGAGCAAAAACAATTCTCAAAGAAATGGGGAAAGACGTCAAAGTGGCGGATGGATTATTCGCCAGAAAGAAACGGCTAGACGATCGATCACGAGGGCTTGACGGTACACTCATGATACCAACGCGGTGATGCACGCTGCCATGTATGTCGGGAAACAAGCAGAAACCACAAAGGCGAGGCACTCACAGCACAAAACACTGACGGAAGTCCGCGATCCATCTGGGTAGACAGGCACATGAATTGTTTGTTGTTCTTTTTGCTTTAGCGATGTTTTCTTTTCGTTTGTGTCAATATTACCCCGATGACAACGGTAACAAAACATGAACACGCGGACCAATGGAGGTCAACAGTACCCGACATGAGTACTGACCGTTGGCGCGATACGCGTACTGAAAGCTACAAAGATGCTGACGGTGCAACAAACACTACCACGGCAAGAAGAGAGGACGAGAACGATATGCGTATAAAACGGTCCATTGCTGACGGCACTCCACAAGCACGAGAGGCCCACATACAAGTATCATCGGCGCCCGGCACATGTGACCGCAAACCGAGAATAAACAAGAGCATGCAACACGACAGGTCACCGCCAACACCACGGGCGACACACGGAGGGTTGTTTAAGTTGTTGTTGTTGTTGTTGCGGTAGTTGTCTTCACAGGAAAAAAACGTTCCGGTCTCTGTGCAAATCTTCTAACGACCGACCGTCCAACTGACGGGGACGCTTTCAGTGGTCACAGGCCAGCTACCCCGAAAAGGGTACACCCTTTTAAAATCAAAATCCATCTAGTAATGCACCCTGAAGATCGTCAACAACGAACCGGGAGACGAGCGAACCCGAAGAGATATACTCCGCAAGACATAATTTGTTCCAGGTCTGTGTTGGCTGATCTCTATAAACCAGCACATTTGGATATGACTGCTGAAAAGCACGATGACAATTATACTACTAGTCAGCGCTGACTAGCAGTCTAGTGGTCATTGTGCTTCAAAAAAATCGCCCGATATTTGGGAAGAAAAGTCTGAGGAAATAGGTTTCGCAAAATAAGCCGATGAACCTCTTGTACCGATAGCTATTTCCGGGCAAGACAGCGCTGATCACAGGGATGGCAACCCTGGGGGGACGTGTTCGTGGCTTGAAAGAAAGCTCGACGGACTCGGGCATTCACGGTTGGTAGTCCCCCCCCTTTCATACTGCTTGCAAAGATGATCGCAAAATGGGCGTTATGTCAGGTCTCCCCGGAGGCGAACAAGTTGCCGGCTCTTCAGCTATGTGCTGAGGCACTTTGAAAGACTTTCCTTCGGAAACAATTGTTCACCATTTCATGTCACCGGCGAAGAAGTGTCTGCACCGCTGGGTTGCCTTGACGTGGTTTCCATTTCGGGATACCAACTTGTGCGGGGTCGTAAATCTGGTCTTTCTGCCCTGTGCCAGACAGACTGAGTGAGGCTCCTCACTCCGTCTTGGGAGCGCGATCGGACATGTGGATCGTTTTCGTCTTCACTGTTAGAATCACGATGACCACTAGACTACTAGTCAGCAAAAACATACAAGTACATAATCCGCCAAATACCATTGCGTGCTCTAATCCACATTCCGGAACCGGACGTACCGGTATCTTCGTAAACACTCCATCCTGAAACAGCTTTTGGACAAATCTTAGCTCATTCTAACCTTGGACTCAGAGACCGCCAACGTCGTCGGTGAAACGAGAATGACCGGAATTCGAGAAGTTTTCACACGTGAAAACACAAGCGCCTTTCCAGCCAAAACGCCGTCCACCCGTTTTGCCAGAACCTTTCGCGACAACAACCGTCTACTGAGGTTGCACTGTGGTTCCCGTACTCTATCGCGTCCGCACATCCCTTTGCTCGGTGACAGTTGCAAGCGCCCCTTCCCAAAATATTGCATCGCCAATCGGTGCTAGGAAAGTCTGTCCCTTCACTTAACTACTGCCATATCAGTTCGGAGATACGGCAGCGTGCGCAAGTATCAACCATGCGTTCAAACCGGCCATGATGCCCGTCGAAAACCTTGCAAGTCTAGCGTGTGCCGAAATGTGAGTATTAATGTTCAATGGAACATAGAGTCAGAACCAAACGTTGCTTGCGCAAAGCAAATCCTAGACTACAGCAGGTAGTAGTCTATATTCATTCGGTCGAATCTGACAGATGCCGCATCTTGTAGGGGATGCACCTTCCGCCTCCTTGTAGCAGCGTGCGTTTGGAGACATTTCTAGCCATGCCAGTGTACGGCGTACTCGGGAGGGAGGAATCGCGCCGACTCTGAGTCCGGCCCGCCGACAGCGCTGTCGATAACCAAAGTCTGCAGCGCCGATAGCGCACCTAGCTCTTGTGGAACCTCACCACTCAAGTCGCTATCGTTGATCCTCAGGAGTTTCAGCTTCTTCAGCTCGCCGAGCTCGGGAGGAATCTGGCCACTTAGCTCATTGTTGCTGATGTCCATCTCAGACAAATTCTTGAGCCCCCCCACCTGGGGTGGAATGCAGCCTGTTGTTCGGGATTGGACGAGATGTTTGAGGGTTGAGGAGACTTTTCTGCAGCAGTAACAAGGTGCTCGGCAAGGAAGACATTCAGATGCCGCTCCAAGATCCCACCCTAGGGCCAAGGGGAGCGAACCTGTGCTTCTGCGATGTACGTAGTGTGGGAGCCTCTACTCTACCTACTACCTGCAGTCGAGGGGTGCGCAACGGTGTGGCCACCTACCAGTCAAACTGTTGTTGCACAGACGTAAGAAGTGCAGCTTGTCGAGGCGCCCCAGCTCGGACGGGATTGAACCACACAGTTGGTTCTCCCTGATATTGAGTTCCGTGGCGCGTTTCAGGTCGCCAAGCTCCGGGGGGATATGGCCAGTGAGTTGATTTCCATGCAACCACATCTCCTCAATGTTCGCTAGGCGTCCCAGTTCACTCGGGATGGGGCCGGACAACCCGTTGGAGTGGAGCTTTTTGTGGCGCAAGTAGGGAATTGAGGAAAAGGAGGGGTGGGTCACGTGAAAAACTGCAAACAACCGTCCAGCTGCCGTGCTAAGGGGCGTGCAATTTGTGATTTACTGCCGTTTCCTGTTCGTTTCGTTTCGCTGTCATCCCCAAGGAGGGGCTGATGGCAGGCTTGACTGAGTGATCACACAACTAAGTCCTTCGATTGTCCGTAGAAACAGACAGAGAGAGTGACACACGAGAGCCCAGAATATAGGATCCTGTATATCATCCAAACCATAGACGTATACCCCCTAAATGTATCCATACCGCGGAGGCCCGAGTCGTACCCTTTCTATGTGACTATCATTGCTCAAATTCCACAGATGACAGCTCATACAAATACAAATAGCGGACCTTCAACAAATGAGACGCGCCGAATTTCCCAGCTCCGGAGGAATGTTGGAGGTCAGTGCATTGCCCCCTAGTTCCAGGCTGTACAGGTGCGTAAGACGTCCGAGCTCAATCGGTATCGTCCCTGAGAGCTGATTGTTGGTGCACTGAAGCCAGGCCTGTTTTGGCATCGAGGAAGGCATAGCGTGGTTCAAGGGTCCTTGTCAACCCACAACGATGTCAAGGCCAATCGACGCGCGTACGGACATCCGGGATACCCCCGACTGACACCAAATTTCTGTCATTTTCTCTTTTCACTCACAATACTTATGGAGCATGTTTGAGCTTTTGGCCCACGCAATTTACCGCATTTCTAAAATTTCTGTGTACAATAGTTGTTGACCGCAACTCGCATCAACTTACGCTTATCCGTACACAATTTGCGTGAGACTCTTAGACGTACGCTACCCCTGGGGAAGAAGCCATCTTCCTGTGCTGAACCGTACGGTAGCTCACCAACTTGTTCAGATCCCCAAGCTCGGGTGGTATCACGCCACTAAGTTAGTTGTCTCTGAGGGGATTTGAGGCAAACACAAAGCGCAAAGAGGGATATGGCGATGGGCATTGTCAGTGTGACCACCATGTTCACAGACGCGGCGTCTAATTATTGAAAGTGGACCGCCGAGGAAGCCAAGGGGGGGAGAATCGTAAAAACCACACCCATCGCCGATTCCCGCCGAGAGAAAAACGGCCTTCAAAATGACTCGTGGTCATTTACCGATCACTCTTGCCTGATTATCCTTGCCTCGTTTATCCTTCGAACGAGGACAGAAATGCGTACCTGAGGTGTAATTCGCCGAGGCAAGGCAGACGTCCAAGCTCCTTGGGGATGGGCCCGGGTAAACAGTTGAACCCAATGTCGAACATCCTGAGCTTCTTTCAACCCTCAATTTCCTTTGGTATGGGTCCGCTTATTTCGTTGAACTCGAGAAATAGCCTCGCCAAGTTCCTAAGGTTCCCCACCTCCGGCAAGAGCGGTCCACAAATCTCATTTTTTACCAAAGCCAGGGTCTCCAATGCCGTCAGGTCGAAGAAAGCTCGTGGGAGCTCTCCTACCATCCCATTCTCGCGCAACTCCACCATCACCACCCGACCTCGATCATTCACTTAAATGCCGTGCCACTCCCTGAGCGGAGCAGACGTGTCCCACGACGAGTTGTTCTGCCACGATTCTCCCCCCGTCGCATCATACAACACCATGAGGGCAACGCGGTCCGTGTTGGCGTCCATTTTCCTACCGCCCACTGGTGAGGTCGGGGTGGAGATCACCGGCTCCGGGTCGGGGACCGCCCCAGGAGCGGTTGGAGAGGAGATCGCCGGAGGAGCGGTTGGGAAGGGGACCACCGAGCTTGGAACGGAGACCGCCGGGGGCTCGTCCACACTCGTTTTCACCGGAAACTCTCGAACTGGCATAGCGACGGCCATCGGGATTTCAGCAGGAGCAGTAGTCTTGCTTGCCAGAGGATATTCTGCTGGTGGTGGAGCAGACGCAGGATCAAGTGACGGTCCGGACTTCAGCAGGGCTTGAACTACATCATCCTTGTTTTCGCAGTAACTCACATCCACCTTCAATTCGTCGTCTAGATGACACAGTTCTGCCACGGTCTTGTTGATGCTGATGGCCACGCCCGCTACCTCCGGGTACCTTCGGGATAGGTAGGGCTCACTCGCGCAGAGGGATGCAAAGGCTGGAAGGAGCCGCTTGTCCAGGCAAGGGAGGGACAGCTCGCTCTCGGGCGGGAGCGCACACACGCAGGGTACAACGTTGAGCAGGAACGACAAGACCTTCTTTCCGTCAGGCGTGGTAGAGCGTGCTTCGTCTGCCCAGAGGGGAGAAAAGGTCTCCACAATATCCGCAAGCGTCTTGTTTACCACGAAACGCTTTGAAGCCCTCGGGGACTCTGTCTGCCGGGTGAAGGGGGGATAGAACATGGACGGACATGGGCAGAGAAGACATGTCAAGCGTCAAGTGTGAGGTTGCAAAATCACGGACGCAAGGTGCAGTAGATACGAACAGGGAACGCAAAATGTTTTATTTCAAGCGGTACGTGTGCGTTTGCATCGGCATTGAAACCGTCAAGGTAGTTAGTGGCAAGGATTGCCCCGGTTTTGCTGTGCACGAGAGCTACGACACAACGATTGGGCAACCTGTCAGGGGCTTTGTGCACCTTTGCCAGACACTACTTGTGTAGAAGCTGCCGTATCGTCGGCACTCTCATCGAAAGGGTTACGCCAAAATGAAGCGGAACGTAAGAAAGTACTGACGAAGATCGGATCTGAGGTTCGTGTGGAGACAACCACAACGACAAGATTGGTTCCTCCAGGCGTCTCCTGCCCCGCCCGTTTCTATGGGATCCACCCCTCCAAACAGATCCTGGGCGGACGTTTTAACGCGTGGGAGCAGAAAACGTGGACCGGCTCGGGTGTCAACTAAATAGGCATGCAGCTCGAGCATGTTCGTCGGCTAATGGAGTCACCTTGCTGTTGTAGACGTAGCCGGCTGAGATAGCCACGGTTGCTGCGTTTAGTTAGACGTCAAGGGCTTTGCCCCGAAGCAAGGCCTTCCCTGCCTTGCTGGCAGCTTTATTTAGATGATCGATGTCCCCCCCGCTAGCTACAAAGCCTTTCAGGGACATTCCCGCAGCCCTCAGCGAGACGTGCTATCAACGGGGGTGGGGAACGGGAACATAACAGGAAGAGCGACGTAGGTATTTTTTCCAACTGGGAGGCATGCTATTCGCGTTGGTCGACTAAGCAATCCGTTTGCCGCGTCATAGATCTGCTTTCGGCCACTTGCGGGTTTCATGACGGAGAAGCCAAGACATGAGCACACAAGTAGGGTAGCTTCCAGGCTGTCCGTAACACTCCCCAAGTAGCCGATGCTCACGGAACGATACTCGTTTACGCTCTTGCGCACGTTTGCTAGGTCATACATAACCTCACGAGAACATTCCATCTGCGCGAGCATATTGACGACCACAGACAAGAGTGTGGTATTGACCCACGACTGTGGAGTATGTGGGATCAAGTACATGGAACACTTTATCTCCCAAATCTCGGGAGAGGAGTGTAGCGTAGACTAGACTATAGACTTATTATCAAGGGTTTGTGCAGGCTTGTCGTATTCACGCACTACAGGTATCAAGTTATTGAATACGCCGCATCCTAAACACGTCACAATCGAAACCAAACCTACTCAGTCATCAAATTTTCTTCACGAGGCGATCAACGTCCTCTAGCACACCTTGTCGTCATCTTTGCGGTCCAGAGATCGATAACATTTTTCTCGTGCGTTGATGACGACGTCGCCGCCCCACTCCCACCAAGCGGTGCCATCCGTGCACGGAGCAGAATCATCTCCCGGTCCGCCGCTGTCTCCTGTGAGATGTGTCCATCCTGCCGTGACCAACCCCGAGGTGAGCTTCCGCACGCCCCAACATGCCTGAGGGCCGGCGACTAGCTCAATGGCCATACGCCCTATGCTACAATCGAGTGATTAGAAAACCTACACAGAGACGGGGGCGCTTGTTATGGAAGTGCATATATTTTGTACGCATCTCCTCTATGTTCGTAGTCAATTTTCAGTGTAGCACTACTCATCAGGATATTGTGTGACAGTTGGCATGCAACGAAAATGCGGATCAATTAATCACTGGTTCGTCATGTTTCGACGTCTTTCGTGTTTGATTTTTCAGTTTCTCTCTCTGCGATCTCCCCAGCTTGTCCCTGGGTATCTATGCTATGTATCGGGCGTAATCTCCTGGAACACTGCATCTGTCTGATGCGTGCCCTGTTTGTTTTTGTTTGCCGAAAGTTCTTGGTATGGATTCATGTAACTAACCGCTGTATTATATCCTGTATGAAAGAGGGGGGGGGGTGGAATGTGTGCTGCTGGTTGGTCGCAGGCTCTCTGTCAGCCTGCCTCTGCCTACTGCTCTATTTTTTTATTTCATCAATATGACCCAACGAATGCATCTCTATCGAGGAAAATAGTCTAAGATAGGTTTCAGCAGTGAATTCAAAGCGTTAGCGAAAGTTCTGTTTTCCCACGATTTCCCGGGCAGCACACAGTGATAACTCCCCCGCGGGTAACAGGGTCAACAAGACAGTTTGTTTTTTTGGTAGACGTCTTGTGTATTAAGGAATAATAAAAACACACACAGAAAGACTACCCATTCGAGACTACCCATTCGAGGTATACCCACAGTCGAACGGGATGTGGTGGAGTCTTTTTAGCGAGTGGAGGGAAAACGGCTGGGTACTGGACTTATTTCGAGTCTTTTTTAGTCTTTACACTGATGATTTATACCAGTGATGCCAGCTTGTGCTAAGTACAAAAACATCTGTCTGTATAGATAGGTAACTTACATTTTACAATACATCCCCTGTAGTTCTCTACTGGGTCAACGACAAAATATCGGGGAGAATCCCTCCGTTGTGTCGTGTATTGTAAAATGTAACCTTCACAGGGGACACGGCGCAGTGTCTATTGACAGCTTGCTGGTTTGTTAAACATATTTGGAATGATATCGTAAAAATCATGGAAGATGGAACGAAGTCTACAGCAGCAGACATCATCACTCGTTTTTCAAGTTGCATACGGGAAGTTTCCGAGAACTTTCTTTTCTCGTCAAAGGGCTAAGCACCGCTCTTTTTCAAAGGGAAATAGACACAAGTGGGTATACCCACCCCTTTCTCGGACAAAAGTGGGTACTCGAAAATCCAGCGCGCGCGCACTCCATAGGCGACCCCCAAACGACTCAAAACCCCATTCTGACACCTGGGCGACACAGCCAGGGACCATACACAGCACGGGCATCGTTTTTTTCCCACTTCTAGGCACACCTTTGGCCCTAATACCGCCGACGCGCGCAAGTCCTCACCAGAGTGCCCACTTATGTCCGACATCGCGGTGGGTATACCCACCGGCGTCAACTAATTTTTTCATGTACCCACTTGTGTCTGTATTTTGACCCACTTTTGTCCAAATTGTACCCACTTTTGTCCACTTACGGACGGCGGAAATCGAGCGGAAATCGACCTCCACGTCACCGCACGGCAGAACATCGAATAGCCTCGGAACGTCTCAGAACCTCCCAACACCGTATGTATCCATGGCATCTTTCCTATCCATGGCTGCCGACTGCGGACCGACCACGGAACATGTCAGAAACATGCCAGACCCCTTCGGTACCGGCACGGGAAGATACCAGGCACGGGAAGATACCCGCGGCAAGCCTACTGTTGTCGTGACGAGTCGGTGTGCACTCGTCGTGGTGGTTGGTGTTTTTGTGTGTGTGCGTTGTTGCTGTTTGCGCGTCTTTTTGTTCTGTATGCGCGACCCGTTGGTTGTGTTGTCCGTTGTATGTCACGCATTTATTTGTGGCGTGCCGTTAGTGCGCTGCTTGCCGGGCTTGCC